GGGCTTGCTTGCCTTGTACCTACCCAAGGACAGTGGAGAGACACCCACACATTTGCTTTCTGACAAGCATGTGAAGGCTAGACCAACAGGAGATGGCTCCCTGGGCCCTGGCCATCAGGGACTTTACTAGATGGGCTGACTGTCTCAGATGCTTCCTGAATTTGGGGGGCCTACCAGTGGTCCTTCCAAAGTAGAACTGGTTCAGTAGGTAAGCACTTGCACACAAGCACAGAGCTCCAGCCTTAGAACCATGTAAAGGTGGATGAGTGCACACACTGGTGATGCCAGTGAACGTACGGCCAACCAGGAGGAGGGGCCAGAGTTCTCGGCCGCTCACAGGCCGTCTCGCCTGGCTTATGCACCAGTGAAGAAGAGCCCCTGCCTCACACAAGACGGATGGCGACAGCATCTGACATCCACATGCACAGTGACCACAAGTACTCACACACATGAACATGTACCCACGTGTCACACATATACGTACACAAACACTAACAAAACCCGCAGTCCTGGGTGAGATGAAGCTGACTTCCCGGCTGCTTTCCAGTCACGCCAGCATTCGGCAGTGCAGTCTCACTGTCGAAGGGCCGCTCGGCATCAAATGGTCTTGTTTTTTGTTTTTCAAGACAGGGTTTCTCTGTGTATTCTGTGTTCCTGGCTGTCCTGGAACTTCCTCTGTAGATCAGGCTGGCCTTAAACTCAGAGTGACACCATGACATTTTATTTTATTTTTTTAGTGATTTATCTATTTATCTCTGTACATTGGTGTTTTGCCTGCATGTATGTCTGTGTGAAGAGTCAGGTCCCCTGAAAATGGAGTTACAGACAGGTGTGAGCTGCCACGTGGGTTCTGGGAACTGAATCCAGGTCCTCTTGAAGACCAGCGAGTGCTCTTAACCACGAGTCATTTTTCTAGCCCTGTACATTTTATTTTTAATCCATGCAACTCTGTGTTCTCTTGAAACCTTACTTGGACAGAGGTTGGAAAATTACTGATCTAGCTAGCTTTTTTTATCTTTTCTATGAGATAGGGTCTCCCTGTGTAGCTCTAGATGGGACTTGCTATGTAGACCAGGCTGACCTCAAACTCACAGACATCCTCCTGCCCTGAGTGCTGGAACTAATGGTGTGTGCCACCACGACTGGCTGATGTAGCTAACCTCCCTTCCTGTCTCCTACTCTGCTGCTGCTATGCAGAGCATGCTCTAAGACAGTGATTCTCAACCTTCGACTTGGATTACAGATGTTGTGACTCTCTACTATAAAAAGTTCCTCATGTTGTGGTGACCCCTAACCACTGCTCTAAGGACTTCTTTGGAGATAAGGGACCTGCAGAGAGAGGCCTGCAGGAGAAGCCTGCAGGGAGAGGCCTACACGAGGAGGTTTGGTTCAGCCAAATATCCACGATGATAGAGACTACTTTAGGGAGTACCCAGAGGGATACAAACCAGGGCCCTGGTTTTCAAGAGATTCATTGTCACTGGGCATTGGTGGCGCATGCCTTTAATCCTAGCACTTGGTAGGTAGAGGCAGGCGGATCTCTGTGAGTTCGAGATCACCCTGGTCTACAAAGAGCTAGTTCCAGGACAGCCTCCAAAGCCACAGAGAAAGTCACTCTGTCTCAAAAAACTAAATTAAAAAACAAAAAAAAACAAAAAAACCAGAAATTCATTGTCTAGTCCACTGGTTCTCAACATGTGAATCTCAACCCTCTGGGGACTTAGAACAACCCTTTTGCAGGTGTCACATATCAGATATCCTGCAGATATTTACATTATGATTCATAACAGTAGCAGTAGCAAAAATATAGTTATGAAACTGCAGTGAAAATAATTTCATGTTTGGGGGTGACCACAACATGAGGAACTGTATTAAAGGGTCTCAGCATTAGGAAGGCTGAGAACTGCTGATCTAGTAGAAGGAAATGACACATAAAAAGACTAAGGAAGGCCGGGCGTTGGTGGCGCACGCCTTTAATCCCAGCACTCGGGAGGCAGAGGCAGGCGGATCTCTGTGAGTTCGAGGCCAGCCTGGTCTACAAGAGCTAGTTCCAGGACAGCCTCCAAAGCCACAGAGAAACCCTGTCTCGAAAAACCAAAAAAAAAAAAAAAAAAAAAAGAAAAAAAAAAAAAGACTAAGGAAGAGTTATCCCTAGGGAGGCAATGGAACAGACAGATAGTTAAAGGAGGCTGAGGTGAGCCCCAAGGGCCATAGTGAGCTGATTCAACTTTTTGGAAGAGGTGTGATTCCCTGAAAGATCCAGTGACTTCCTGCTCTCTGCTTTTTCAAAGGGCACAGTGGACTCAAAGGAACATTTGGGCGGGTTGGCCTGGGGAGGCATTTCCAGGACCCAGGTATAGAAATAAAAATGATTACAGGACAGCAAGGACCGCAGACACTTGCAGAGCACTTGTGTGTGCCAGACACTCCGTGTTTCCATTCTGACTGCAGCCCTCGAAGCTGGGCAGTGTCGCCAACCTGATTTTAAAGACGAGGACACTGAGATCCAAGGAAGCTGTGAACTCAGCTAGGAAGTTCCAGAGCCAGGGGCTGAGTCTAGATAGTCCGGACCAGGGAGTTTATTTGGTGATTGACCTTTTTTTTTTTTTTTAAGGTTTAGTGTGTGTGCACGCGCGTGTGCTCACGTTTGTATACATTGTGTGTGTAGGTTCCCAAGGAGGCTAGAAGGAGAGCTAGATAAATAGGCATTTGTGAGCTGCCTGATGTTGGTGCTGTGTTCTAAACTCCAGTGCTCTGTATCAGAGGTTAAGAACAGTAAGTACTCTTTGGGGGCTGGAGAGATGGCTCAGCACTTAAGGGTGCTTCCAGAGGACCAGGTTCAATTCCCAGCATACATATACATGGCAGCTCACAACAGTCTGTAACTCCTGTTCCAGGGGATCCATACCCTTATCCAGGCAAAGCACAAATGTACATAAAATAAAAATAAATTAAGAAAAAAAGAGCAGTAAGTACTCTTAACCACTGAGCCATCTCTGCCACCCCAGTAGTTTTGTTGTTGCTTTGGAAACAGGATCTCACTCTTAGCCTGGGCTGGCTTGGAACTCATGGCCATCCTCCTACCTCAGCCTCCTAAATACTAGGATTACTACAGCTATAAGCCAACATGCTAGGCTTAATGTGTTCTGTTTGTTTCCAAGACCGGGTTTCTCTGTGTAACAGCCCTGGCTGTCCTGGAACTCGATCTGTAGACCAGACTGACCTTGAACTCAAGAGATCTACCTGCCTCTGCCTCCTGAGTGCTGGGATTAAAGACGTAGCCACCACATCAGGCTTTTAGTGTGTTCTTGAACGTTAAGCTTCACAGATGAGGGATTGGTTATTGTCAGGCAGGGAAGCAAGATACAAGTGGTGTGGAGGGTCCACATGTTCACCAACTACTGACCTCCCGGCCTCTTCTCCCCTCCCCCCCAATGTAGAAAGGGAGGTCCCAGAGTCCTGCACACCTTACATTGTCTGGAATGACGCTAGCTCGTTGCTGGCCACAATAGGAGATGTATAGTACCTCCTCTGTCCCCCTTCCTGTTTTACCTTAGCCAAACCAGTTCTCGAGGGTTGTTTGAAGCAGAGAGCCAGATGACCAGAGTGGTAAAGAACCCACCGATCAGCTTGAGCCAGACTCTGTCGCCTTTCATTCTCTTGTGTCCAGAGAGAACACAGGCTTCACAGGATTAATTAATTAATTAATTTATTTGCTATACTGGGGATTGAACCCAGGGCTGGGCAAGTGCTCTGCTGTGCAGCTCTGTGCCTGTACCTTTAACTTGAGTCAGTCTCCCTCAGTTGCTCAGGCCTCCTCCTCTTAGCCTCAGAGTAGCTGGATCACAGGTGCATGCCACCAAGGTCACTCAGTTTAGTGGGGTCTGTTGTTGTTTGACAGGGTCTTACTATGCAGTTCAGGCTGTCCTGGAACTCTCTACCCTCATTGCCACCATCCAAATTCAGGAATTACCGGTGTGCATAATACCCAGTTTTGTTTTAAGATTTCTTATTTTTAGGGAGGATACACAAGGAGGTAAACCCTGTCTGCAAAAGCCAAATAAACAAAAAAAGATTTATTACTTTTATGGGTGTTTGCCTTCCTGTATGTATGTGTACCATAGGTATTTTTGGTGTCCTTGGAGTCAGAAGAGGGCATTAGATCTGGAACTGGAGTTGCAGGCATTTGTAGGCTGCTACATGGGTGCTGGGGTTCTCTGGAAGTACAGCCAGTGCTCTTAACTGCTCTTCCATCTCTCCAGTAGCCACTCTCCTTTTGTTTGCTTGAGACAAGGTCTCACTAAGCAAGTCTCACTGGCCTGGAACTTGGTATGTAGGCCAGGCTGACTTTGAACTCAGAGGTCCACATGCGTCTGCCTCCCAAGTGCTGGGATTAGAGGTGTGTGCCACCACTGCCAAGCTAGGATTTTTATTAAACTAAGTTTCTGGTAAGCTGCTAAGACTTAAGAATGAATTTCTTTTCCTTTGTAATTGAAGGATATAGAATATTCAGTCATCTAAATGTACTCAATGAATTGTATGTTGCACACTGTGCTACTTCCCAGATGTCCTCAAGACATAGTGTTCCCATTGTCCAGAAGGAGCCTCATGTTGCCTCTCAGTCGACTCTTGAAACTAGGGCTAGAATCCGCTCCCCCTCCCGCGACTGAATTCAGCCTTGCACATAGTAGGCAGGTGCTCTTCCACTAAGCTAGATCTTTGGCCCCAATAACTACTTGTCTCTACTTTCTTATTTCTGTCACCATCCATCCAGTCACTTTTGCCTCCTTACGATGTGAACACTTTGAAGGCTGTGGATACACAGGTAGGACAGTAGGACTTTTTGGAGCTACACCACAGTTATCTCTGTCTGTCCCTGGCCTATCTGTCAGGGACAGCTTACTACCACTCCACAAATGTGAAGAGGCTAGGGATGGATGTCAAGGCCGCGTTGGGAGCATCTCTTGGAGATGGCTTCAACAGATTACTTTTGTGTCTAGGCCCCGCCCCAGCCTCAGACTCAACCACCATCATCCAACAAGCGTCCCAGCAACAGCACACCACCCCCAACCCAGCTCAGCAAAATCAAGTACTCAGGGGGACCCCAGATTGTCAAGAAAGAGCGACGGCAAAGCTCCTCCCGCTTCAACCTCAGCAAGAACAGGGAGCTACAAAAGCTTCCTGCCTTGAAGGGTACTCACAGAAGACGGGGGGATGGGCTGGGCTTGGGGGCCGTGAAGATTGGTTTAGGAGTCTGTCTTTGGGGGAAGGGTGTTCTATAGACACGGGGTTCGCTGTGACAAGGCACCAGGGGGCAGAGCGGTGGCAGGGGGAAGGGAAACCCGCAATAGCAATGGGATGTGTATGAAGATTGGCGGGGCACACCTGACAGCTGAGCTTCCGCAGACTCGCCAACCCAGGAGCGTGAGGAACTCTTCATACAGAAGCTACGCCAGTGCTGCGTCCTCTTCGACTTTGTGTCAGACCCACTCAGTGACCTCAAGTTCAAAGAGGTGAAGCGGGCAGGACTCAATGAGATGGTGGAGTATATCACCCACAGCCGTGACGTTGTCACTGAGGCCATCTACCCCGAGGCTGTCACCATGGTGGGCACAGGGGAAGGGTAGGAGAGGGGGAGAGGAGAGCCCCTGGGAAGCCCAGGCAGTGCTCTAAGTTGGGCTCACCCTCAGTTTTCAGTGAATCTCTTCCGGACGCTGCCACCTTCATCGAATCCCACAGGAGCCGAGTTTGACCCTGAGGAAGATGAGCCTACCTTGGAAGCTGCCTGGCCACATCTCCAGGTACCAGGGCAAAGGGACAGGATGGGTCTGGCTATAGGGCACAGGGTCATTCAGGACTGCAGTAAGGGGGCATCCTCCAGTCCTTGGGTCAGGTCTCAATGAAGCTTCTTTTCCTCCACAGCTCGTTTATGAGTTTTTCTTACGTTTCTTGGAGTCTCCAGATTTCCAGCCAAACATAGCCAAGAAGTACATCGACCAGAAGTTTGTACTTGCTGTAAGTCTGAACTCCCTGCCGTCCCATGAGCTGTAGCCCCACACGCCTTTACCTGTGCCCTGCCTGCTCCTTCCCCTCATTTTCATACACTGGGAGTTCTGCTGTGTCCAGTACAAGGCTCCCAAAGACACTTCCGGTGTAATTGGGGAAGAAAAGGAACGAGGTGCCTCTCTCCACTCAGTGGGTATGAGCATGCATACCCAGGTAGCACATTGAATGAGTTGTATAATAAATTCACTCTGCTTTTCAGAGACCCGACCCCAGATTTCTCCTGCCTAGAACCTTGTGACCCCAGCCCATTGCCTTCCCTGGCGGCTGCCTCATTCTCTGCCTTTCCTAACCTTTTGCTCCTAGCTCCTGGACCTATTTGATAGTGAGGACCCCAGAGAGCGGGATTTTCTTAAGACCATTTTACATCGCATCTATGGCAAGTTTTTGGGGCTCCGGGCATATATTCGTAGGCAGATCAACCACATCTTCTACAGGTGAGGCAATGAGCCCAGGCTTGGGAGCACAGATGTCCATCATGGTGGGATGGGAACAGGAAGGCAGGGAAGACTACAGAGCGTTGGAGTAGTGCCAAGAGGGTTGTCTTTCCTTAGGTTCATTTATGAGACTGAACATCACAATGGGATTGCCGAGCTCCTGGAGATCCTTGGCAGGTCAGTGCATGGGGGTGCACTGGAACCGCCATGGAACACTGGGGATGGGCGCACTGAGCTTGAATATAAGCCTTTGGTCCTAAAAGCATCCCTTGGCTTCCAGCATCATCAATGGCTTCGCCTTGCCCCTTAAGGAAGAGCACAAGATGTTTCTCATCCGTGTCCTGCTTCCACTCCACAAGGTCAAGTCCCTGAGTGTGTACCACCCTCAGGTGAGGAAGGGCTCCCTGCTGACAAAGGGTGGTGGTGAACCCTCTACACCTCCCCTGACAGAGGGTGATGGTGAACCCTCTACACCTCCCCTGACAGAGGGTGGTGGTGAACCCTCTACACCTCCCTTGCTGACATAGAGGGTGATGGTGAACCCTCTACACCTCCCTTGCTGACATAGAGGGTGGTGGTGAACCCTCTACACCTCCCTTGCTGACATAGAGGGTGGTGGTGAACCCTCTACACCTCACCTGACAGAGGGTGATGGTGAAGCCTCTACACCTCCCCTGACAGAGGGTGGTGGTGTGCCCTCTACACCTCCCCTGCTGACACAGGGGTGGTGAACCCTCTACACCTTCCCTGACACAGGGGTGATGGTGAACCCTCTACACCTCCCCTGCCGACAGAGGGTGGCGGTGAACCCTCTACACCTCCCCTTCCATTCTGGGCTCTCATCTGCCACTGAGTGCTGAGGCCTTCTAAGAACTGCATTTTCACTCCCATTTCCAACCTTTTACAGTTGGCATACTGTGTGGTACAGTTCCTGGAGAAGGAGAGCAGTCTCACTGAGCCGGTAATTTCCTTTCTGGGACCCCAGGCATCAGCGATGCTTGCCCATCTATACCTGTTGATTTTGTTTCTGTCATTTGTGGTACTGGCCGTCAAATCTAGGGCCTTGTACATTATCAGGCAAGAACTTTATGACTGAGCAAGAAACCCTAGCTCCAGTGTGTAACTACTGTATAACACTGTAAGTGGCCGCTCAGGAGGACTGAGAATGTGGCTTCCTTTCAAGGGAATCAAAACCTGTCTATAGAAATGACAGACTCAGCCGGGCGTTGGTGGCGCACGCCTTTAATCCCAGCACTCGGGAGGCAGAGGCAGGCGGATCTCTGTGAGTTCGAGACCAGCCTGAACTACCAAGCGAGTTCCAGGACAGCCTCCAAAGCCACAGAGAAACCCTGTCTCGAAAAACCAAAAAAAAAAAAAAAAAAAAAAAAAAAAAAAGAAATGACAGACTCTAGATATCCCCTATGTGGAAGGAAATGGCGATAGGGTGGGAGGCTGGGGGGGGGATGGTGGGAGGGCGCGTGAGGAGGGCAGGGAGTGGGAACTGGGATTGACATGTAAAACAAGCTATTTAAAATTAAAATAATAATAATAAAAAAACCTATCTATATACTCAGGAGACTAACCCAAGTCCGAGAAGCCGTGTGGTTAGCTGTGGTAGACGATAACCACAATAGAAGAGCTTTCCAGAGAACTGAGTGAGCAGTGTTAGGAGTTTTATCCTCACATCCTCTTCACAGGTGATTGTGGGACTTCTCAAATTTTGGCCTAAGACCCACAGCCCCAAGGAAGTGATGTTTCTGAATGAGCTAGAGGAGATTCTGGATGTCATTGAACCCTCGGAGTTCAGCAAAGTGATGGAACCCCTCTTCCGCCAGCTTGCCAAGTGTGTCTCCAGCCCCCATTTCCAGGTAAGACCAGAACCATATCTCCCAGACTCGGCAGAGCAGGTCTTGAGGACTGCAGGGAGTGCCCACTGCGTGTCACTTCTCCTTGCTAGGTGGCGGAGCGTGCGCTCTACTACTGGAATAATGAGTACATCATGAGCCTGATCAGTGACAATGCTGCCCGAGTCCTCCCTATCATGTTTCCTGCACTCTATAGGAACTCCAAAAGCCACTGGAACAAGTAGGGCACCGACCTTGGGCTGGTGGTGGGATCTGGGCATTCAAAACTCAGAGGGTGTAGAACTCGAGACGGGGATTTCACTGGCCACTCTGCAGCCAGAGCTGGTGCTCACCAGGTATCACTAAGTAGGTCCTCGAGATGGCTGCAAGAAAAGATGCTAACGAGACAGCCTGCAGTACCAGATAGCTGACCTGTTTCATACCACAGCCTGGGAGACCTAGGCTGGAGGGACCTACGTGACATGCTTTTGCAGACAGGCTTTCCTGCAGAAGGCAAGCGTAGTGTGGTGCTGACAGTCTTTACTGGGAAGCCACGGAGCCAGGATTAGTAAGGCCCATCAGATGCTCTCGGGCACATGATTTAGTAAAGAGTTAGCTGCTTCTACAGTGTAGAGCTTTGGAAAGGAACAGGAAGTGGAAAAGCTTTTGGCAGACACTTGAGCAAATTGGGGCTGTGGCACTAACGGCACTCTGGCCTCCTGCACATGTCTCTCTCTGGGCGGTAGGACAATCCATGGACTCATCTATAATGCCCTGAAGCTCTTCATGGAGATGAACCAGAAGCTGTTTGATGACTGCACACAACAGTACAAGGCAGAGAAGCAGAAGTGAGTCTCTCCTGCAGGATGGGGACCTACAGCTCCAGCTCGGTGTCCCCAACCCCAACCTGCTGTTCCTCCCCCAGGGGCCGGTTCCGAGTGAAGGAAAGAGAGGAGATGTGGCAGAAGATCGAGGAGCTGGCTCGGCTCAATCCCCAGGTGAGGCTCTTATGCCCCTGCCTGTCCTTTTACAGTAGAGAGAGGTTCCAGAAGAACAAGGCAAATAGGCTTGGAAGTGCTCACCGTGTCCATACCCTGCTCTCAGTATCTATGTTTGAAATGTTCACCGTGTCCGTACCCTGCTCTCAGTACCTGTGTTTGAAATGCTCACCGTGTCCATACCCTGCCTCTCAGTATCTATGTTTGAAGTGCTCACCGTGTCCGTACCCTGCTCTCAGTACCCTGAAATGCTCACCATGTCCATACCCTGCTCTCAGTACCCTGAAGTGCTCACCGTGTGCATACCCTGCTCTCAGTACCCTGAAGTGCTCACCGTGTGCATACCCTGCTCTCAGTACCCTGAAGTGCTCACCGTGTGCATACCCTGCTCTCAGTACCCTGAAGTGCTCACCGTGTCCATACCCTGCTCTCAGTACCCTGAAGTGCTCACCGTGTCCATACCCTGCTCTCAGTACCCTATGTTTCGAGCTCCTCCGCCGCTGCCCCCTGTGTACTCCATGGAGACAGAGACCCCCACAGCAGAGGACATCCAGCTTCTGAAGAGGACAGTGGAGACAGAGGCAGTGCAGGTGAGAGCACCAGGGGCAGGGGCAGGCTGGGAGGAGCAGGGGCAGGCTGGGAGGAGCAGGGGCAGGCTGGGAGGGGCAGGGGCAGGCTGGGAGGGAACAACAGCTCTGGGAGAGAGCAGACAGGCTAGCAGAGCCACAGAGAGAAAACTGAATTTCTTGGGAACTGGTCACCGTTTCTGGCCTTCTCCCTGTCCACACACAGATGCTGAAGGACATCAAGAAGGAGAAAGTGCTGCTTCGGAGGAAGTCCGAGCTGCCACAGGATGTGTACACCATCAAGGCACTAGAGGCGCACAAGCGGGCAGAAGAGTTCCTAACTGCCAGCCAGGAGGCTCTCTGACCCCTCCCTCCCCAGGGTGACAGCCCACCCAGCCCCTCCCTTCCACAGGGTGACAGCCCACCCAGCCCTTCCCTTCCCCAGGGCGACAGCCCACCCAGCCCTGGGACGCAGCCCGCCCTCACCCTCTGCTCCTTACTGGCTGACCTGGGGCAAAACAGCACCTCTCTGGCTACTCTAGAGGATGCAGGCACTGAAGCAGGGATGCCCAGGGCGCTCCCTCTTCTCCCCTAAATGTGTTCATGCCTCCCTGTGGCTAGTACAGACAGGCTGAGCACTGAGTGCTCAGTGCTTAGACAACCTGGGGGTGCCTGTCCCCCTGCCCTCCCAGCTACCTGAAACTGTTGTGAGAAACACACACACAGGGGTCACATGCCCCTCCCTCCCCTTCATCCTCATCCAAACTTGAGGTGTCTGTCCTCTCCCCTGCAGGGTAAAGCAGGAGATTGTTACATCAAGTTCCATTGGCCCCTGGAGTGAAGAGCTGGAGAACCAGCCCCCAGTAGCACAAATAGGCCCCAGCATTATGCAGGCAAGGGCTGGTGGTGTATTCCTTTCATCCTCAACCTAGCCAGGACAACACAGAGGTCAAAAAAGTATGTTATGGACACTAGATGAATATGGCCAGTGGACCAAGGTGGGGAGAATGGACCATCTACCTGGCCCTCAATGGCATGCAGCAGTCCTGGGATCACAAACATGGAAGGGACCACCCTGTGGCTGACTGCTTTCCTGTGCTGGTGGTTCCCATAGCTACAGAGAAGGAAGCAGGAGCAGTGCCCCAGCATGGCTCCTGCAGCACCTATTTATTTCCTGTTTATGCGGATGCTGGGCAGGCCGTCACCTGTACCCTTTGGGCACTCAGAAAAGCAAGGACCGGGAGGGCTGGGCCAGGTTTCAGGTACACAGGCAGTGCAGCTTCTGGCTGTGTACATAGGGTGCTTTATTCTCCACAGAGTGATACGTGCTAAGGTGGGTTGGGCTTGGGCCGGTGTCCCCATATGTACAGAACAGAATAAAGTGGGTCTCTGAGAGGTCTGATTTGCCTTGATGTGGAATGGGACATGGGAAGGTGGATGTTAAAACCAGAGTTGTGTTGGTCCTGTGCTGGTCCTGGTTTGCAATGTAGGGAGGAGACGGGCAGCTCTCTGTGTGGTTACTTCCAGGCAGGGGACGCCTGCCGGGCTTGGAGGGCTTTCTGTACTACATCTTCCCACTGAGCATCCGATATCTCCCGAGCCCAGGCAGGGACGCCTGGTGCAGGCAGGCTCACTCCAGCCATCGTCCTTTTCACCAGCTCCACGTGTTCTGAAAGCATAGCCACAGGCTGATTAGGGAATGGACGGTGGACCAGTTCCTCTCCCTATTTCCTGAATCAGGGAATTACCAACTCCACATTATTGTCAAGTCTAGCTAAGCATCCCACCTAGATTCTGAAAATCTGCTAACAAACTTCCTTCTAAGAGTAAGGTGGTAAGCCGGGCGTTGGTGGCGCACGCCTTTAATCCCAGCACTCGGGAGGCAGAGGCAGGCGGATCTCTGTGAGTTCGAGGCCAGCCTGGTCTACAGAGTGAGTTCCAGGACAGCCTCCAAAACAATACAGAGAAACCCTGTTTCGAAAAAAAGTAAGGTGGTGCGCTGAGACTTTTCTTACTGGTCTAAACCGATGTGTTTCCTTCATGGGTATTCGCAAATGAGAGGAGGAGCCTTTTTACCTGGGTCCATGGGGATAGAGCTGTGGCTGCTCAGTGCTGCAGCCCCCTCCTCTTCCTCATCCTCACTCTCTAACGGTGGGTCTGGCAAATGAAGTCCCAGGGCCTGCAGAAACAACGCCATTTGCACCCAGCTTGTGGTGCGTCCTGTCCCACCCTCTTTGGGACAATTCCTCCACCATACCTGGATGCGGTCTTGGATATCAGCAGCTCCATCCTCTCCCTCACCCACCGGGGCCAGCTCCACCTCCTCTTGTTCAGGGTCTTGATTGAGGGGCTGGTAGGAGTAGCCTGCTGGGCCTGCTCCGGTCTCCTCCTGCTCTTCCTCAGGTTCTTCACTGCTCCAATCCCCAGTTCCTTCTGTCGGACCCTGATGTGGCCCTAAGTCCTCAGTTTGATTGGGGAAGATACGTTCAGGGCCCATGGTGTCTCCCCCTAGAACTACTGCTGCCATCCGGGCAGGGGCTGCAAGGACAGAAAGGCAGGGTAGGGATGGGTGACACCAAGTCCGCTTTCGTACCGCGATCTGCAGTGTCCTTTTACATGCATAAAACCCGCTTCCCTCTCGCGGGCATCTTCCTACCTTCTCCCATCCCTTGTGCCTCCCCGCCTTAAGTCTGGGTTCTCATATTGAGCTCGAGCCCACCAGTCTTTAACTCTCCCGATTCCTGAATAAACAGACAACCCGAGGGCTTCACCGCTTCCGAAGACACCCTCGCCCCCTCCCGGCACGCCCCTCCCCGGCTCGGTCACTGCAGGTCGCCAAACTACCCACGATGGCGCGTCCCCGCCCCTCATCCCGTCTCTCCGGGACACCGCAGTATCGCCTGATAAAAAGCCCTTCAAGCCCATGGGCGCCCCTACAATGGCCCCAGCTGCAGAGTCCCCTACCCGCCCCCACTGACTCCTGGCGTTGGTGTTTCCTCGCGCCTCACCCTCTCAGAGCCCACAGCCGGACCCGCACCTTCACTTCCGGCGGGGCAGGACGCGCTATGGCTCTTAGTCCTCCAGCCCCGCCCCGTGCCCAAGACTGACGCAAGCGAGGACGAGAAGTCCGCCTCCGCCATCCCCTGCCCGGACCACAAAGAACTACATTACCCAATGGCCCTCGGGAGCGCGCCGTATTCTGCGCAGGCGCACCTCCTCCCGGCCCTCCCCTCCATCCCCCGTCTGCCCGTCCTGAGGTAACTTGCGGACTACAAGTCCCTGAGACTACAAGTTCCCGAAGGCGTCGGGCCCAGGGTTCTCACTGCACGTGCGCGTCCTGCTGCCCGCCGGAAGGACGAGCCTGGCAGTGTTTATCTCGTTGGGGACCGAGGAGTCGGTTGGCGCGCAACGGGCTCTAGGCTGCCAGCAGCGCGAGGACCCGCGGCCCCACCCCGGCCCGGCCTGGCAGGTAGTCTGGGATGGGGTGAGGGATGAGAAAGGTTGGAGGGTCTGGCGACGCCCAAGGCTGGTCCTGGCGTCGCGGGGGAGGGGCTGAGAAGGATGAGATGGCGGTGGGGAGGGAGCTAGGGGGATGCTGGGAAAGAGGAGAGTTAATGGACAGCGAAAGGGTTGGGGAAAATGGTCTGGAAGCGGGTGGGAGAGACCTGGTGGCTGGAGGAGGCGCAGAAAGAAACTGGACGAGTGTGTTCTGAAGAGAATCAGGAAGCTGAGCATAATGGCAGGGGGAGGGGACAGTGTCTGGCGCTGTGGGGGAGGGGCGGCCGAGAAAGGTGGAATAAACAGGAGTCGAGTCATACTCGGAGAGGAACGTCCACGGCTGGAGGGGCAATGAGCGTTTTCTTCCCTTCTGGAGGTGGACGAGCTAGAGGGGTCTGAGGGGAGAAGGGAAGGCAAGGGAACTGCAGAGCTCTCGGGAGACCGAGAAGGGAACGCTCGCGAGTGGAGAGCAAGCATTGCAAGCTGTCAGGGACGGGAGCGAACGTCAAGTGAATGGAAGGTTGAAAATGTAATGGTGGAGAATGCGGGAAACCCAGAGGCCCTGTTTAACCCCTGCCTTTGAGTTATTTCTCCTTATGAACGAAGATGATGGGCTCTTTGTCCGACTCTCAGGGATTGATAGTCTCATCTGTGCATTTTTAATTTTGAACTTGCCTTCAGGGGAGGGTGAAGGCTATGAGGGAAATTGATGTCCCCCCCCCTTTTTTTGGAGACAGGGTCTCACGGTACAGCTCTGGTGGCCTTGGCCTCATAGACATCCCAGCCTCCCCAGTGCTGAGACTAAAGGCATGCCCTGCCACACCTGCCTCGGGCTTCCCTTCTGAAAGCTTTCAGTCAGCTTTCCCCCACGCGCACGGATGAGAGTAATTTATGGCTGCTGCTGTTTCAGGTTTTGGTAGATGGCTTTTTAAAGCATACAGTGTAGGGCTGAGGGAGGCTGGCTGCCCAGCAGTGACAAGCCAACTGAAAGTCATGCCTGTCTCCTGCAAGGGACCTCCCTTGCCTCCCTCCTGAGGGTCTGCCTGCTCTCCTCTCTCCTCTCTGCCAGCGAGCAGATAGATTATCCACCCAAACCCAGCAGATGTCTCTTGGCAGAGCGTTGCCAGTTGGCAAAGGATTTGCCTGAAAGAACCCTAAGATGTACCCGTTATCACTAGGATGGCACGCTGTCTGAGAGGCCATGGCCCGTCTTATGTCTGGGGACCCTTGTCCTGTGCAGTGCGGTTTTGCTTTCCTTCCTTTAGAGACTTGACCGGGGAGAGCTGTTGGAAGTGACTTGTTCTCCAGCGATAGCAAGGTTGGGAAGTGGCAAGGGAGAGATCCTCTTCCCTCCCCCAACCCGAATACACACATACCTTTCTGGCTTAAGTTTCTAGTCCTGGCAGCATACGAGCTACAGCTGTCAAAGGAAGTCCTCGTGCCTGTGGGCACCCTGAGTGACCCCAGGGACAACGGATCAGCTTGACAAGAACTCTGTGAGGGGCTAATCAACCATGGTTACATGGAGTTCCCTGTCCTAGGTAGGGACACTGTTCTCCTCTAGAAGCCTAAAGCTTTCTACTTCAAGAACCTGTGCCAGCTCTCAGTGGACTGGCTGGGGCTGGCTGGGCTATTAATAGCTGGGAGGATTTGGAGATCCCTACCTTTAAGAGATGGAGGGAAATTCTTAGAGAGGTGGCGGTAAGCAGAGCCAGAAGCAAGAACACACCAGTATGGGAAGGGGCTTTGAGCTTGTTCCAAGCCAGAGACAGGGTGGAGTTGAAACCAGATTCTGAGCTGGCAGTCGGGTTAAGGTGGCCCCACCCTTCACTGTGGCAGAACACAGGGTCAGGGCTAGCGTCTTGACCTCTGCGGCTCCCCTGGGGCAGGGCCAGCCACCTGAGCTGTGACTAGTGTCCCTGAAGAGGGGTGGTGTGGGAGGGCCACCAGGGTGGCACTTGGAGGCAGAGTCTGGTCCTGGGCAGCCATATTGAGCTGAGCAGAAGCCTTGTCTGAGGAGCCTCCGGCCTGACTTTTGTACAGGTGGCAGAGGCAGCAGGCCGTGCTGGGGGCATGTTCCTGTAGCCTGTGGTCCAGGGGATGTTACGGTGGACAGTGCATCTGGAGGGCGGGCCACGCAGGGTGAACCATGCTGCAGTGGCTGTCGGGCACCGAGTGTACTCCTTCGGGGGCTACTGCTCCGGTGAAGACTACGAGACACTGCGTCAGATAGACGTGCACATTTTCAATGCTGGTAAGCCACTCTGGCACCTTTGCTGGGCTCCCACATCAGGGAGGGAGTGGGCACCTGAATGAAATTGGGTGGTGGTCTCTGTGGCGGGGGGGGGGTTGGGTAAGAACGTTTGGTTTAGGGTAAGGTGACAGCCTGGAGGGAGGTCCCAGGGCTGAGCAGAACTGTGCCCACAGTGTCCTTACGATGGACAAAACTGCCGCCAGTGAGGCCTGCTGTCCGAGGGCAGGCTCCTGTTGTACCCTATATGCGGTATGGCCACTCAACCGTCCTCATCGATGACACAGTCTTCCTTTGGGGTGGGCGCAATGACACAGAAGGGGCCTGCAACGTACTCTATGCCTTTGATGTCAGTGAGTATGGCTGCACATGGCGCCTTGGGGCTGAGAAGGGGGCGGTTGGGGGAGCATTGGAGAAGGGAAGGCCAGAAACGAGGCGGGTGTGTCAGCTGACCCGCGCCATTCTCTTACCTCTTTCAAAAGATACTCACAAGTGGTCTACACCCCGAGTGTCAGGCACAGTTCCTGGGGCCCGGGATGGACATTCAGCCTGCGTCCTGGGCAAGATCATGTACATTTTTGGGGGATATGAACAGCTGGTAAGTCTGGAAAAACTACAGGTTTATGTCAAAGGGAGCAGAGGATTAAAGAGTAACCAGTGACACCCCTGTTTTTTCTTTGTCATCACTCAGGCAGACTGCTTTTCCAATGACATCCACAAGCTGGACACCAGCACTATGACATGGACCCTTGTTTGCACAAAGGTCTGTCCTTTGTTCCGTCACACCCCGCCTTTTGTTGAAGCCCTAGGAAGCTTCCCCTGCCTGAGCCCTGGCTGATGCTCTTCCCCATCTCTGATCTTGGCTAGGGTAACCCTGCACGATGGAGGGACTTCCATTCAGCCACCATGCTGGGCAATCACATGTATGTGTTTGGGGGCCGTGCTGACCGCTTTGGCCCATTTCATTCCAACAATGAGATTTACTGCAACCGAATTCGCGTCTTTGACACCAGAACTGAGGCCTGGCTCGACTGTCCGCACACTCCAGTGCTGCCTGAGGGGCGCAGGAGCCATTCAGCCTGTGAGTGTCTGTTGTGTTGTTGTGAAGTACCTGTGCTGTCCCGTTTGCTCCTGACATGTGTCTGCCCTTCCAGTTGGCTACAATGGGGAGCTGTACATCTTTGGCGGGTATAATGCAAGGCTGAACCGGCACTTCCACGACCTCTGGAAGTTTAACCCCGGTAAGGAACCTTACCCTTGGGGGGTGGGGGTAAAGGGCAGGGAGGTGGGAGGAAAGGAATAACCCAGTAAGTGTGGGCCCGGGGTGGGCTGCGTGTAGAGACGTCCTGGTTGGCGAGGTACTGAACCTCTATGAACTTCTCTTTAGGGTCCTTTACTTGGAAAAAGATTGAACCAAAGGGGAAAGGGCCATGTCCCCGCCGACGCCAGTGTTGCTGTATTGTTGGTGATAAGATTGTCCTCTTTGGGGGTACCAGGTTAGGAGAGGGAGGTAACAAGAGGGGGAGGTGTGTGAGTGGGGTCTTGTGGGTAGTTCTGCCACCCACTGCTTCCTCTTTGTGTCTGTGCAGCCCCTCTCCCGAGGAAGGCCTGGGAGATGAGTTTGACCTCATAGATCACTCTGACTTACACATCTTGGACTTTAGTAAGTACCTATTTCTGCTGTCAGGTTCTGTGTCTCTGGGTGATGACCAGAGTGGGACCTTTCCTTTGCTCTGACTGTCCTTCAACTCTCCGTTAAAGGCCCGAGTCTGAAAACTCTGTGCAAACTGGCCGTGATTCAGTATAACCTGGACCAGTCCTGTTTGCCCCATGACATCAGGTAAAGCAAGTAGTTGCACAGGAGGGGTTGCTGGGGGTGAGTGGCCGCGCAGGTGTGACCTCATTAGCTCAGGCTCAACATGCAGAAGACAGACATTTCTATTTGCTGGAGGTGAAATTTTTGTGAGGAACAAGGGAGGAAAAAGTGCAGCCATCGTGTGACAACTGTCATCTCTGTGAAAAACCCTTTGAGTTTTATAGCCATGCTCAGAAAGCCTGTTTCCTCGTGGTTTTGTCTGGCTGACGGCAAGGGGAAGAGACTCTGGACCCCTTAGTTCCAGAAGTGAGAAAGGCCCTGCTTCCTTGCCTCTGAATTCAAGTATCAAGTTCAAATCAAGCACCAGATGTCACTCCATGTATCGTTTTCTCTTGCTGGCTGTTGAGACAGCCCCTACTCCTTGAGCCAATTCTTACTTGCTAAAGTGTGTGTGTCCTTTGGTGACACAGGGCTTATAGGCTGACCTGGTGAATCCCAGGTGCAGGTACCTTAATACTGAGTACATGGCTTAGTGTCTTGGTATAAGTGACTGTCTCCTAAGACTTAGTGGAATGATAGGTTGTTGAAAACATAATTTAATTTGGTGGGGTGGGTGGGAAAGGCTTTAGGCCCCCTAAATTTTAGGGAGATGGGAATAGCAAGCATGGTATGCTTACCCAGGGGCTGGCATTCAGGGATCTGTAAACATAAACAGGAAACCCACAAGAGCTTGGAGGTGGATGAGTAGGTGGTGTTGGATTTAGTGGTCATGGGCGGGGTCTGGTGGTTAAACCCCAAAGGGCTGTAAGGAAGAGGTGGCTGTGGGGAGCTGGAGGGGCTGCTGTGTTCATAGCTTTGTCCAAAGAACTCTGAGCTTGCCGTAGAGACCGCCTCTTCTGTCTTCCCTGCCCCTCGTTCCCTTCCAGGTGGGAGCTCAATGCCATGACCACCAACAGCAATATCAGCCGCCCCATTGTCTCGTCCCACGGATAGGAAGAACGGCGTGCCGTGCGTGCGCGCTGCCTCCCCTCCTGAGCCTGCTCTTGTCTCCATGCCCTGCCTGTGTCACCTGCCTGCCCCTTTGGACCCTGGACTCAGTATACCTCCACGTGGAGTTGATGGACTAGAGGTGTTTTCTGTGCTGTGAATTCAGTGGGGAGTTGTGGGGGGAGGGCTCTCCTCCTCCCTTGGGCCGAGGGCCCCTTCCCTTGGTGCTCTGTTCCCATCCACCTCCCTCCGCGGCTCCTGGGCCTTTGCTCTGACCCAGGCCAGCTGGGTAGCCAGGCTGTGCTGGAAAGTGGGGAGAAGAAGCCAGCAGTGTCGGAGCCTCAGGAGCTTCCCTCAACTCGTGACCATCCCTCTCCCTGCTTGAGCATCTGCCTGGGAGCTGAGAGGAGCCCCAGCTGTTGGCATGAAACCCCCACCCCCCACCCCGGCCCCCGGGGGTGTCGACCAACAGTCAGCTTCTCCCATCCTCGAGCTGTCGCTGTACCCCCGAAGATCAGCCAGCTCTGGTTTTATAAAATATAAAACCTCAAAACGTGTCATGTTTCTGGGGACTACCATGGAGTTGGCAGGTTCTGGCTTGGCAGCCTAACATTTGAAGAAACCCTGTGGCACTGGGTACCGAATCCACCCCAGAATTTAGGTCTGGCTGGTACAGAGCTGCGCTTCTTCCTGCCAGAATCCTCACCACATTGGCTCAGGCTTCCGGAAGGGGTGGGGCTTGGGCGTCTTAGTAAGCGGAAGCGGTGTCTGTCTTCGTCCGGACTACACAAAACATGCCCAAAGCTGGAGCTAGTGCTGGGGCCCGAGGTTCCCGCGGAGCTATTAAGCAGAGCAGGCGCATGGCAGGCGACCAGCCGAAGGGTGAGGGCCTGGGGTTGGCGGGAGTGCGAGGCGTCTGGCTGCGGGATCGGAAGGCCACCCTGAGCATCGCGGTTCAGTGGAGGAGGAGAGGGAGCACTCCCGGCGTTACGACGTTCAAGGAACTTTCTTGCTTTTGTTTTCCTGAATGTTATGGCAAAGGGTTACTGGGAGGGTGTCTCAAGGTGTAGCCCAGGCCAATTTCGAACTCTTGGCAGTCCCGCCTGAGCCTCCCAAGTGCTAGGATTGTAGGCATAAGCCTGCAGACCGGGTCTGGGCAGATCCTCAAAAGTGGGATGAGGCTCCTTCCTAGAAGGTTTAGTAGAGGGATGTAATTAATTTAGCCCTAATTAAGCTGTATGCAGGCACTTGGAGATAAAGAATAGTCAAACAGCAAAGCCAATTACCTCTAAGAAAAGGTATTTAGAGCCGGGCAGGGGGCACACACCTTTAATCCCAGCATTGGGATACAGAGGCAGGCAGATCTCTTTGAGTTCAAGGCCAGCCTGGTCTATAAAGCAAGTTCATGGACAATCAAGGTGGTTACCCAGAGAAACTCTGTCTCAAAAGAAAAAAAAAAGTGTTTAGGCCAGGCTAGCACACCGCTGAGCTGCTTCCCGCAGTCTGGAGGCTGAGGTGACCAGATTTGGGTGCGCATCAAACAGGCCTGGTCTCCATTGTGGAGCTCCAGGCTAGCTGAGCAAATGGAAGCCCCTGGAGAGCTTTGAGTTCAGGAATGACGTGATAATTACTTCGCGGAGTGACACAGTTTTCTTTTTTTGTGTGTGTGCAAAATGGGCTATGAGTTGATTGACCTCTCTCCCTGCAACAAGGTGAGGTGTCAAGTAGCCAAATTAGCTGGAGAGCTGGATGTTAGTGTTGCAGCCTGTGCTGTCTAGCAATAGTAATGATGATTCTGGGATCTGGGATTGGAAAGGATGAGGATAGGATGAATCTGCTATGTGTCTGGGGTTTCTCTCTCTGTGTGTGTGTGTATGTGTGTATGTGTGTATGCGCGCGCGTACGCACGTACTACAGTGAGGATGTAGAGGTCAGAGGACATCTTTAGAAGTCTCTCCTCCACCTAAACCATGGTGATTCCAGGCTCTAACTCCAGTGATCAGGTGTGGCAGCATGTCCCTTTACCTGCCGGACCATCTCTAGCCTGACGAAGGCTTTCCTGCTGTTGGGAGGTCCTGACCTGGGCTGTGTGACCTTTCCCTCCAGCAGACACATCCGACATGTCATTTGAGGAGCTGTTGGAGTTGCAGAGCCGCGGGGGACCCAAGGCTTGTAAGCAGGTGGTAGCTGGAAGGAGCCCTGAGAAGCAGAGCCCCAAGCCTGTGTGTGTTGCAGATAAGCACCGGTGAGGAACTTGCCCTCAGAGTCAGCAGACACCCAGGGCCTTGGCTACATGTCTGTGACTAAGACTGGAGTATACTTATCCTGACCTTCCATTTCTCCTTAGGCCTCTGGAAATGTCAGCCAAAGTTCGAGTGCCATTCTTACGCCAGGTTGTTCCCATCAGTAAGAAGGTGAGGAAAGGACAGGGAGAAGGCCCTTCCTTAGAGAAAGGTCTAAACAAGTCCTTTATACTCTCTCTCCTCTTTCAAAAGGTAGCCCGAGACCCCCGATTTGATGATCTATCAGGGGAATATAACCCTGAGATATTTGACAAAACTTACCAATTCCTGAACGATATCCGAGCCAAAGAGAAAGAGGTATGTAATATGACACTGGTTTCTCCTCTCTTGGAGGTGGGAACTGGAGTACATGTGGGGCAGTTGGGAGCAGGAATGGGAAGCATATTGGTAGGGAGGTTTGTTTTGCTGTTAGTTCATCAGTTTTGTGACTGTGTAATCAAGTTGCTTAGTTCCCTTTGCTTCAGTTATTTTTTATTTTTTTATTTTTTGGTTTTTCGAGACAGGGTTTCTCTGTGGCTTTGGAGGTTGTCCTGGAACTCACTCTGTAGACCAGGCTAGTATCGAACTCACAGTGATCCTCCTGCCTCTGCCTCCCTAGTGCTGGGATTAAAGTCGTGCGCCACCAACGCCCGGCTAAATGGATATAATTTAAAGTTGATACATGCTATTAATATTTATGGGGTAGGATGGCATCTCAGTCTGTATTTAGTGTTTAATAATCAAAGTAATTGCCATAGGTATCACTTCTCATATACATAGGATCATTTCTTCGTGTTGGGAACAGTCTAAATCATCTCGTTGTCTATTTTGAAATACTCAGTTAAGCTAGGCTTAACAGCGCATAGTTACAATCCTAGCTACTTTGGGATGTGAGGCAGCATGATAGAGAATGTGAGGCTACCCTGGACCGTGAGACCTATCTCCCTACCCTCCATAGAAAGAGTGAACAAAATAATAGATTCAGTTACTTGTCAACCATAGTAATCTGATGTACTGTCAATCCTTAGAAATTATCCTCCCTGCTCAGCTGCATGCCTGTGCTGGTTAATTACTTCTTTGCCTATCCCATCCTCCCCACTCCCTCTGTAGGCTGTCATAGCCACTGTTTTGTACTTCTTGGAAATTGACTATGGCATCTGTATATAAGAATATAAGACTTTGCGGGTCAGTGATGGTGCACGCCTTTAATCTCAGCACTCAGGAGGTAGAGGCAAGCAAATCTCTATGAGTTCAAAGTCAGCCTAGTCTACAGAGTGAATTCCAGGACAGCCAGGACTATACAGAGAAACTCTGTGTCTAAAATCAAAAGAAAAAAAAAATTCCCCGCATTCAAGAGGCAGAGGCAGGTGAATCTCTGAGTTCAAGACTGGCCTGGTCTACAAAGCAAGTTCCAGGACAGTCAGGACTATACAGAGAGATCTGGTCTCAAAAAAAAAAAAAAACAAAAAACAAAAAAAAAAAACAAGAAAGAATATGTGATAACTCTGTAGCTGATTACACTTATCATAATGTTGCTTCAGTATTTATTTATTTGTGTGTAGGTCTGCATGTTTTACCCTTTGACTGTGGAGGTCAGATGATAACTTGCCAATTTTAGCTCTTTCCTTCAACTATGTGTGTTGTAGAGATCCAATCAGGCCATCAGGCTTGTGTGGCAAGTGCCTTCACTCATTTAACCATTTTTCCTCCTTTCCTTTAGTTTGCTTCCTTCCTTCCTTCCTTCCTTCCTTCCTTCCTTCCTTCCTCCCTCCCTCCCTCCCTCCCTCCCTCCCTCCCTCCCTGCCTGCCTCCCTGCCTGCCTGCCTGCCTGCCTGCCTGCCTGCCTGTTTCTTTGGAGTTTTTGGTTTTTTTTTTAATTTGTTTTGTTTTGAGACAGATCTCACTATGTAGCTCTGGCTGTCGTGGAATTCACTATTTAGATCTGGTTGGGATCCCCCTGCCTCTGCCTCCCAAGCTCTGGAATCAAAGGTATGCACCACACCTGGCTGCTTTAGTTTTCTAACCCTGAAAAGGGTAAAAAGGGATAAAAATGTATGTGAGCAGGGATGACTGAGTTCAAATTCCCTAAACATTGACAAGCTTTGTGTGGTTACCTGTGGGCCTGTGATCCCAGGTGTGGTCACCTGTGGGCCTGTGGTCCCAGGTGTGGTCACCTGTGGGCCTGTGATCCCAGGTGTGGTCACTTGCGCGCCTGTGATCCCAGGGCCCCACTCCCTTTGAGTGTGCATGGGCACGCACACACACAGCCACACAGTTACTTTAAAGAGAGAGAGAAAGAAGTGCTTACTAAGAGAAAGGGCCAGGGCTGGGAGTTTTAACTCAGTGCTAGAATTTTATATACTTAGTACTGTGGGAGAGCCTCAGACACCTCCCACCACACACATTGTTTATTGCTGTGTTAACTTCTGGGAACCTTTTCTAACTATGCTTGGCACAGAGTGTTAACTATGCTGTTCTTTTTACCCCGTGGAGCTTGTGAAAAAGCAGTTGAAGAAGCACCGATCAGGGAAGGAGCATGAGAGGCTGCAGCAGCTGCTCCATCGAATGGTGAGGGCGCCGGCCGCAGGGGGTGGTGAGCAGTTTCAGTGTCCCTCCTGTTCACACACCCATCCACCTCACCTCTGACCCTCAGGAACAGCAAGAAATGGCACAGCAGGAGCGAAAGCAGCAGCAGGAGCTGCGCCTGGCCTTGAAGCAGGAGCGGCGGGCTCTGGCACAACAGGGTCATCGGCCGTACTTCCTGAAGAAATGTGAGCGGGGCCAAGCTCTGGAAAGCCTACTAGAGGGACGGGTTTGTGGCTAGGTATCAGGCGAGGGTCCTTGAGTGGAGGAAGTGGGAAGAGCAGGGAAGTGTTGTGTCTCAGTCTTGTATCTGTGCTTGTGGGGAACCCGAGGGTAGCTTAGGTGTAGGGTTGCTCACCTAGCATTCGTTAAGCCCTAGGCTTGACCCTAGCACAACATGAAACAAGAATAGTGCATATGCTTGCAGTCTCAGCACTTGTAAAGGTTGTCCTTGGCTGTGTAGAATTTGGAGACTGATTTGGACTAGAGTCCCTGCCCCGCCACCAAAAAAAACAAAGAACCAAGTCAGTGACTGTCACTTTTACCTCTGTCTTGTCATATTTTGTTCCCACTCATATGCCCATCTTGGTTCAGATGACCAAGATGTGAGTCATAAAATGTTAGCCTAGAGGCCAGGCTTGGTAGGGTATACCTTTTTTTTAAAAAAATGTTATTTATTATCAAGTATACAGTGTTCTGCCTGCAGGCCAGAAGAGGGCACCAGATCTTGTTACAGATGGTTGTGAGCCACTATGTGGTTGCTGGGAATTGAACTCAGGACCTCTGGAAGAGCAACCAGTGCTCTTAACCTCTGAGCCATCTCTCCAGATCTGGTAGGGTATACCTTTAATCCTAGCACCCGAGAGGCAGGAGTACTCAGATCTTTAGGAGTTCAAGGCCAGCATAATAAGGTCTACATAATAAGGTGTACAAAGTTAAGACCCTGTCTCCAGAAAGGAAAAGTTAGCTTAGGCAGTGATATTTGATGTACAGTGGTAACACACTTGCTAGCATGAGGAAAATGCTGGATTCATTCCTAACATTAGGGGATAAAAGCTGGCTCACTGGGCTATTAATAGAGCCCTTGTCTAGCATCCATGAAGCTGTTTGATTACCAGCAGCAGCACACACAACACAGCAGCACACGTACACCATGGCTCTTAACAATATGACCCTTTTTTTGTTTTCGTTTTTTGAGACTGGGTTTCTCTGTGGCTTTGGAGCCTGTCCTGGAACTCGCTCTGTAGACCAGGCCGGCCTCGAACTCACAGAGATCCACCTGCCTCTGCCTCCCTAGTGCTGGGATTAAAGGCGTGTGCCACCAATGACTGGCCCAACCCGGCTCTTAACAACAGCATAAGGGGTCACTGATGTGAGACCAAGAAATAAGGTCTTCACCCTTTGCTCACCAGCTTGCTCTCTTTTTATCTAGCTGAGGAGCGCCAGTTGGCCCTGGCTGAGAAGTTCAAGGAGCTGAAACGCAGCAAGAAGCTGGAGAGTTTCTTGAGTCGGAAGAGGCGCCGGAACGCAGGCAAGGACAGGAAGCATCTCCCTCTGAGCAATGAGTAGTAAGGAGCTGTCCCAGGGAGACAAGTGTCACAAGTACCCTGCGCTAGACTGTCTCAGAAGACTGGTGTGCTCTTGGACTGTGCAAGGGCTCTTCAGCAACAGGCGCTCAGCCTTCGCCTGTCAGACTCCTTTCTCCATCTCCTTCATCGTGTTCTCCTTCCGTCCTTTTCCTTAGGCCAGTGATTCAACATGGGGTATGTTCACCACTCCTGGAAAGGGACTTTAAAGAGCCATTTTGGAAACATGCTTTTTACTCATTTATTTTGTGTTGTTGTTTCTGTTGGTTTGTTTTAATTATGTGTATGTACCTGTGTGTAGGTATGTGCACATGAGTGCAGGGACCTTTGATGGGCAGAAGCATTGATTTCCCCTGGAGCTCGAGTTTCAGGCGGTTGTGAGCTGTCCAGTTTGGGTGCTGGGTACCAAACATGGGTCTTCTGCAAGAACAAAACACATTTGATCACTGAGCCATCTCTACAGTACCTCCTCTTTTATATATTTATTATTATTTATTTTTTATTGGTGTTTTGCCTATATGAGAGTGTTAGATCCTAGAGCCACAGAGAGTTGTGAGCTGCCATGTGGATGCTGGGAATTAAACCTGGCTCCTCTGGAAGAGCAGTCAGTGAGTATTCTTAGCCGCCGGGGGGGGGGGGGGGGGGGTGTTATCTCTCCTGCCACCCCTATCCTTTTGTTTTGTTTTTGTTTCTGAGACAGGATTTCTCTATCTAATAGCCCTGGCTGTCCTGGAATTCACTCTGTAGACCAGGCTGGCCTCAAACTCAGAGATCGACCTGCCTTTGCCTCCTGAGTGCTGGGATTAAAGGCAGTGTGCACCACCACTCAGTCCCATTTTTGTTTTTAATGGAAGACCTAGAATTACTGTGTTAGTGGGCCCTGGGTCAGGATCTACAGTGTGAGAAATGAAATAAATCCATATTAAGTCTCGGCCCTGCAAAGATGTCTAAAGTGTGCAGCCTACAGTCACCTAGTTTTCCACAGTGAGGTGTGGGGGGGTAGTATATTAGCCAGTGCTTTTCACACATACACCTGAGAGGAGACTTAGGTCCATGACCATTGGCTTCCCTTGCACTGGGGCTCATACCTCGTGAGGCAGACATTGGCTGCAGCCGTGTGTCTGCATGGTAGGATTGTCAGTATGTGCCCTCACACTCCTCCTCAGGACATTAAAAAGAAAGTCACTGTAGTTCTATGTGTGGTTTTTACTGCTGTGTTAAAGCACCACAACCAGCCGGGTGGTGGCACACCTTTAATCCCAGCACCGGGGAGGCAGAGGTGGGTGGATCTACAGCATTAGTTTCCAGGACAACCAGGGCTGCACAAAGAAGCCCTGTCTTGAAAAACAAAATCCCTCAACCGGGGGGTGGAGAGATGGCTCAGAGGTTAAGAGCACTGGCTGGTCTCCCAGAGGTCCTGAGTTCAATTCCAAGCAACCACATGGTAGCTCACAACCATCTGTAATGAGATCTGATGCCCTCTTGTGGTGTGCAGGCAAACATGCAGACCAAACCCTGTATACATAATAAATCAATAAATCTTAAAAAAACAGAAACAAAAAACACAACCAAAAGCCATTTGGGGAGGACAGCGTTTATTTCATCTTACAGCTTGTGAGGGACGTCAGGAGAAAAACCAAAGCAGGAGCCAAAGTGGAGGCTGTGGGAGAACTCTGCTCACTGGCTCGCTCTCTATGGCCAGTTCAGTCGGCTTCTTTTTTTCTTTTACTTTTTTTTCTTTCTGAGACACGGCTTCTCTTTGTGGCCCTGGCTGTCCTGGAACTCAATCTGTAAACCACGGTGGTCTCAACACAGACATCCATCTGCCTCTGTCTCCCCAGGGCTGGGGTAAAGGTATGCAACGCCATGCCTGGCCTCAGCTTGCTTTCTTACACCACCCGAGACCATCTACCCAGGGGTGATAGCACCCACTAATGAGCTGGACCCTCAAACATCAGTCACCAGTCAGGACAATGCCCCACAGACTTACCTAAAGGTCAGTCCGTGGAAGCATTTTCTCAATTAAGGTTCCTTTTCAGAAGATCCTACCTGTGTCAAGTCCACATAAAAACTAGCCAGCACGATGTATGTTCCTCTTAAGGCCTAGAATAGATTGTTTTTCTTCAATTGAGATTTTCAGATAAGAATAGCCATCGAGGATTTGTTATGTATATAGGTGAAATTTCTTTTCTCTTTTTTCTTTTTAAATAGCTTGTTTTACATGTCAATCCCAGTTCCCTCTACCTCCCCTCCTCCAACACCCTCCACTATCCCCCCCCCCCAGCCTCCCACCCTCCCACCCTATCGACATTTCCTTCTACATAGGGCTATGTAGAGTCTGTCATTTCACTCAGGGCAGGGTCCAGGCACTCCCCCTAAGAGTCCAGGCTGAGAGAGCATCCCTCTTTGTGTTATGGACACACAATGTCTATTTGTATTCCAGGGATAAACACTGATCCACTGCCCAGGGCCATAGGTTGCCCAGGCATCCTCACTGACTCTCACACTCAGGGGGTCTGGATCCATCCCATGCTGGCCTCCCAGCTGTCGGTCTAGGGTCCAAGAGCTCTCCCCTGTTCAAATCAGCTGTCTCTGCTGGTTTTGCCAGCCCATTCTTTGCCAATTTGCTCCTTGCTCCTCTCTCTCTGTCACTGGGTTCCTCGGGTTCAGTTCAGTGCTTAACTGTGGGTGTTTGCCTCTGCTTCCATCAGTCACTGGATGAAGGCTCCAGGATGGTTATAGACATCAAGTTCATTATCAGGAATGGGCATTCGAAGTGGTCTCTCCACTATTGCTTAGCTTGCCAATTGGTGTCATCCCTTTAGATAACTAGAGGTCACTCTGGTGTCTGATCTGTCTTCTAACCTATGATTCCCTCTTCCCCCTATTCTATCCCACACTCAACCTTCCTGTTCCTCCATGACCTACTCTCTCTTTCTCTTCTCCCCCTCTCTTCTTCCCAACTCCCACTCCCCCCCACCCCTCACCGTGTTCTTCATCTGTTCAGAGGATCTTACTTCATTCCTCTTCTCTTGGGTACCATGCATATCTCTTAGGTTCTTTCTGTTTCCCAGACTCTCTGTCAGTGGAAGTGCAGACTGGCGCTATCCTGATCCATGTCTAAAATCCATATATGAGTGAATACATACCATGTTTGTCTTTTTGTGACTGGGTTACCTCACTCAGGATGGTTTCTTCCAGTGCTATCCATTTACCTGCGAATTTCAAGATTCCATTGTTTTTTCTGCTGAGTAATACTCCATTGTGTAAATGTACCACATTTTCTCTATCCACTCTTCAGTTGAGGGGCATCTAGGTTGCTTCCAGGTTCTGGCTATTACAAATAATGCTGCTATGAACATAGTGGAGCAGATGCCCTTGTTGTATGAATTTGCCTCATTTGGATATATGCCTAAGAGTGGAATTGATGGGTCTTGTGGTAGATTGATTCCCATTTTCCTGAGGAATCGCCATACTGATTTCCAAAGTGGCTGTACGAGTTGGCACTCCCACCAGCAGTGGAGGAGTGTTCCCCTTTCTCCACATCCTCTCCAGCATAGATTGTCTTTGGTGTTTTTGATTTTAGCCATTCTGACAGGAGTAAGATGGTATCTCAAAGTTGTTTTGATTTGCATTTCCCTGATGGCTAAGGATGTTGAGCACTTTCTTAAGTGTCTCTTGGCCATTTTAGCCTCCTCTATTGAGAATTCTCTATTTAGTTTTGTACCCCACCTTTTAATTGGATCCTTTGGTGTTTTGGAGACTTGCTTCTTGAGTTCTTTATAAATTTTGGAGATTAGCCCTCTGTCAGATGTGGGGTTAGTGAATATCTTTTCCCATTCTGTGAACTGCCTTTTTGTCTTGTTGACTGTGTCCTTTGCCTTACAGAAGCTTTTTAGTTTCAGGAGGTCCCATTTGTTAATTGTCGATCTCAGTGTCTGTGCCCCTGATGTTATGTTCAGGAAGTGGTCTCCTGTACCAACTCGTTGAAGAGTATCTCCCACTTTCTCTTCTAAGAATTTTAGTGTGGCTGGATGTATGTTGAGATCTTTGATCCATTTGGACTTAAGTTTTGTGCAAGGCGATAGACATGGATCTATCTGCAGTCTTCTGCATACCAATACCCAGTTATGCCAGCACCATTTGTTGAAGATGCTTTCTTTTTTCCATTGTATAGTTTTAGCTTCTTAGTCAAAAATCAAGTGTTCATAGGTGTGTGGGTTAAAATCAGGGTTTTCAATTTGGTTCCATTGGTCTACCTGCTTATTTTTGTGCCAATACCAAGCTGTTTTCAGGACTATAGCTCTATAATATAGCTTGAAGTCAGGTATGGTGATGCCTCCTGAAGTTCCTTTATTGTATAGGGTTGTTTTGGCTATCCTGGGCCTTTTGTTTTTCCATATAAAGTTGATTATTGTTCTTTCAAGGTCTGTGAAGAATTGTGCCGGAATTTAATAGGGATTGCATTGAATCTGTAGACTGATTTTGGCAAGATTGCCATTTTTATTATGTTGATCCTACCAATCCAAGAGCATGGGAGATCTTTTCATTTTCTGGTATCCTCTTTGATTTCTTTCTTTAAAGACTCAAAGTTCTTGATATACAGGTCTTTCACTTCCTTGGTTAACATCCCCAGATATTTGATGCTGTTTATGGCTATTGTAAAGGGTGATGTTTCTCTGATTTCTTTCTCAGCCACTTCATCATCTGTATATAATAGGGCCACTGATTTTTTTGAGTTAACCTTGTATCCTGCCACTTTCCTGAAGGTGTTTATCAGCTCTTGGAGTTCCCTTGCGGAGTTTTTCGGGTCACTTATGTAAACTATCATATCATCTGCAAATAGTGAAAGCTTGACTTCTTCTTTTCCTATTTGTATCCCCTTGATCTTTTGTTGTCTTATTGCTGTAGCTAGAACTTCAAGTACAATATTGAAGAGATATGGAGAGATTGGACAGCCTTGTCTTGTTCCTGATTTTAGAGGAATTGTGTTGAGTTTCTCTCCATTTAGTTTGATGTTAGCTGTTGGTTTACTGTATATTGCTTTTATTATGTTCAGGTATGTTCCTGTTGTCCCTGATCTCTCTAGGACCTTTATCATGAAGGGGTGTTGGATTTTGTCAAAGGCTTTTTCAGCATCTAGTGAGATGAACATGTGGTTTTTCTTTCGCAGTTTATGGTGGATTACATTGATAGATTTTCTAATGTTGAACCATCCCTGCATTCCTGGGATGAAGCCTACTTGATCATGGTGGATGACTTTTCTGATGTGTTCTTGAACCCAGTTTGCTAGTATTTTATTGAGTATTTTTGCATCGATGTTCATGAGGGAAATTGGTCTATAGTTCTCAGTTGTGTCTTTGTGTGGCTTGGGTACCAAGGTAATTGTAGCCTCATAAAAAGAGTTTGGCAGCCGGGTGTTCGTGGCGCACGCCTTTAATCCCAGCACTCAGGAGGCAGAGGCAGGCGGACCTCTGTGAGTTCGAGACCAGCCTGGACTACCAAGCAAGTTCCAGGACAGCCTCCAAAGCCACAGAGAAACCCTGTCTCGAAAAAAAAAAAAAGAGAGAGAGAGTTTGGCAGTGAGCCTCCTGCTTCTATTGTGTGGAATGCTTTGAGGAGTATTGGAATTAGCTCTTCTTTGAATTTCTGGCAGAATTCTGCACTGAAGCCATCTGGGCCTGGACTTTTTTTTGGTTGGGAGACTTTTGATGACTGCTTCTATTTCATTAAGGGTTATAGGTCTGTTTAGATTGTTTATCTGTTCTTGATTTAGTTTTGGCAAGTGGTATCTATCCAGGAAATTGTCCATTTCCTTTAAATTTTAGAATTTTGTGGAGTACAGATTTTCAAAGTATGCCCTGATGATTCTCTGAATTTCCTCAGAGTCCGTTATGTCCCCCTTTTCATTTCTGATTTTGTTAATTAGCATGCTCTCTGTCTTTTGGTTAGTTTGGACAGAGGTTTGCCTATTTTGATGATTTTTCTCAAAGAACCAACTCTTTGTTTCACTATTTCTTCTCAATGTTTTCCTGGTTTCTACTTGATTGATTTCAGCCCTCAATTTGATTATTTCCTGGCGTCTGCTCTTCCTGGGTGAGTTTGCTTCTTTTTGTTCTAGAACATTTAGCTGTGCTATTAATTCTCTAGTGTGACTGTTCTCCAGTTTCTTCATGTGGGCACTTAGTGCTATGAACTTTCCTCTCAGCACTGTTTTCAGAGTGTCCCACAAGTTTGGGTATGTTGTGTCTTCATTCTCATTGAAATTGAGGAAGTCTTTAATTTCTTTTTTTATTTCTTCCTTTACCCAGGAATGGTGCAATTGTGCATTGTTCAATTTCCATGAGTTTGTAGGGTTTCTACGATTTGTGTTATTGTTGAATTCTAATTTTAATGCATGGTGGTCTGATAAGATTCAGGGGGTTATTCTGATTTTTTTTTTTTATCTGTGGAGGTTTGCTATGTTTCCTATTATGTGGTCAATTTTAGAGAAGGTTCCATGTGGCACCGAGAAGAAGATATATCCCTTTGTGTTTGGGTGGAATGTTCTATAGATGTCTGTTAAACCCAGTTGGGTCATAACTTCTATTAGTTCTTTTGTTTCTTTATTAAGTTTCTGTCTGGAGGTCCTGTCCAGCGGTGAGAGCGGAGTCTCTTTTTTTTAAAGATTTATTTATTGTGTATACAGTGTTTTGTCTGCATGTCTGCCTCCAGGCTAGAAGAGGACGCCACATCTCATTACAGATGGCTGTGAGCCACCGTGTGGTTGCTAGGAATTGAACTCGGGACCTCTGGATGAGCAACCAGTGTCCTTAACCACTGAGTCATCTCTCCAGCCCAAGAATTTTATTTTTTATTTTTTAAAATTATTTTATGGGTGTGGGTATTTTGCCTGCATTTATGTCTATGTGTCTGGGAGCTCACAGAGGCCAGAAGAGGTCATCACATCCCCTGGAGCTAGAGTTATGGGCGATTGTGAGCTGCCAGTGGGTACTGGGAATCAAATCTGGGTCTTCTGGAAGAGCAGACAGTGTTCCTGTTAAGCCTTCTTTCTAGTCCCCATGTTTTTGTTTCTGTGTGTGTATGTGTTGGGAGCTGTGGGGGTGGACTGAGGACCTTACAAGTCAAGGTCCTCAACCAGCTGTGGGGAACATAAAGAATTATAACTCTAAGAATGGCCCCATCTTACCAGGAGGTCAGGGTAGCAAACCTCTGTCCCTGAGCCACCATTAGAAGTGAAAACATCCATCTGCCCTCCAGGAAGGGATGATCCAGAGGAAGAGGCTCATACCTGGTCAGGGGGTGGGCTGTCCTTGGAGTCAGACCTGATGCTCTGGATTAGGAGAGCTGTGAGCTGTGTGGTTAGGAGGACCAGCAATTCAGAAGTCAGTTGGTCATGGAGGGATTTTTAAGACCAAAGCAGATGTGTCTGGGGGACTTGTACATGGAATGAACTTGAGACACAGCTGAATGGTGGTGTGCTCCCTGGCGGGGTCTTAGTGCCAGCATCACATACGCATTGCTAGATGGAGACTGCCCACTGTTGGTGAGCAGTGAGTGGGGGCACTGTGCCCCTGGGGCTGGGTGTAGTGGGCATGCAAGAGTCCTGGGGCAGTGGCGGTGCTGGAAAGTCAGGCTTGGCCTCTTCTGTGGGCAGTGTGCAGGCTTGGCCATCAGAGCCCACAGACGAACAAAGCGTTGGTACTGTCCACTAACCGATGCACGTGTTCACACATTGTAATCCCGGCCCATGGGAGGCTGAGATGAGCTTCAAGTCAGCCCCGGGTACAGGCAGCCTGGGCTAACATTGTAAAATCGTGTCCAAAATAATAAAAATAGGACTTGGGCCATTAAAAAGCCACGGTCTTGGGGCTGGAGAGATGGCTCAGTGGTTAAGAGCACGGGCTGCTGTCCCAGAGGACCTGAGTTCAATTCCCAGCACCCACGTGGCAGCTCACACCTGTCTGCAACTCCAGTTCCATGGCTTCTGACACCTCACACAGACACACATGCAGGCAAAACATCAATGGATATAAAATAAAAATAAATCGTAATTTTTAAAAGGCCATGATTTGTGCTGTGAAGGAGGAGCCTTCCAGGTGATAAATGACAACAACCCCCATGTGCCCTGAGCCTGCTAATGTCCTGGCCTTTCTGGACAGTCGGGCTAACAGACCAAAGGTACCATGGGAGCAGTGCAACAAAGCAAGATAGCCCTCCAGACCACTAGAGCTCCACACCCCGCCCCACCCACTCCTTCCTTTTCTTGTTGCTCATTCTGAGTATCTTCTCTCCCCAGCCCTGGCCTCTCTTGCCCTTCCTCCATCCCACGTCTGTTCTGGCCACATGCAGTTTCTGCTAGCTGGCTTTGTGCCCTTACCACCTGACTTTCCCTGGCCCTCTCCCCCATCCTCTTGCTTTTTCCCTGTCTGTTAATAGGTAACAGCCATAGACTGCTTTCTCCTACACTCATCCTAAAACTAGTCTGCCCCTGGCCCTGGGTTTTCTAGACTATTCTACCTGGTTCAGTGTGGGTGGGGCCAGGATAGCCAATCCTGGTAGCACTCTGCACCCAAGCAGCAGGCTTGCCTTGGGGCAAGCTGGAGGCAGGGACCTATGGCAATCTGTGCAGCTCTACCTGCCTGGAGGAAGGAGGACTGAGTAAGGAGGGCAGGAAGAAGCTGCAGTTCCTCCTAGGACTGTTTCTGGCCCATAGTGGAAGGTGGTCAAGGTTCTGATTACTTGCAGAGGCCTTTTACCTTGACACCCTTGCTCAGGGAAGGCACCAGTGTCTGTAGCTGGCGCTGGGTGTGGTAGCCGAGACAGGAGGACTGGTTGGCAGGGCCGTCCCTGTGTTAGACGCTTCCACCTGTTACTTGTCAAGATCCCTTCGTCACTCCTGTCAGCTCTACAAATGAGGAAAGTGAAACCCTGTTTGGTCACCTGCCCAAATTACGAAGCATGTGACCAAGGGCTTGGGTGTTTGGCCTGCCAGGTCAAAGTCCTGGTCACACCCTTGGCTGTTGGATCTCCCTGCCTGGACATGCCTGATTCTTCCTTTACTCTCCAATCTATCTTCCTCACCTCCACAAGGCTCCTGATGTGTCAGAAGGCTCCTGAATGCCAGAGGCCTCCTTCCCTATCAACTAGAGATGCCCCCTCCCCTATCAACTAGAGATGCCTCCTTCCCTATCAACTAGAGATGCCCCCTCCCCTATCAACTAGAGATGCCCCCTTCCCTATCAACTAGAGATGCCCCCTCCCCTATCAACTAGAGATGCCCCCTCCCCTATCAACTAGAGATGCCCCCTCCCCTATCAACTAGAGATGCCCCCTCCGGCCCCTTCGCCTATCTCTAGCTAGCAGCCACCAAACAAGTCAGATCATCAAACTCCCATGTTTTATTTCCTGTAGAAAGCCCCAGCCTCACCTATCCTGAACCCCAGCTCCAGGGCTACCGGAACGTGGAGAAGCTCTGGGTGCCAGTGCAGGAAGCATAGGGGACACCCCGGGAGCGAATTTGCAGGGTGTGGAAGGTCAGGGGTGGGTTGGGGCCTGTGGATCCAGGGTTCAGGGACTCAGTGTGGGGCTCCATGACGGTTACGGGGACTGCATAGAACAGCATCTGCGGCCGGTCGTCATGGCGTCTCAGTGTGCCCTTGCCCAGGAGGTGCAGGATGCAGGAGAGCACGTCGGTGCTGCTGCACGCAGCTCCCCTGCCCAGGCTGCTGACCAGACCCCTGGGAGGACACGGACCATTCTCCCAAGCTTCCAGCACCTGACACCAAGATCAGAGGAAACAGGTCAGAACCACAGAGCTTACCGCTGTCAGCCTCCCATGCTAGCAGAGCAAGTACCGCCCAGTCTCACCCATCACACACAGGCTGCACAGTGAATCAGACACTTCAGATCTGGGCCCACCACCTCCTGGAGGCGCACCCCATGACCATACCCACCACTGCCTACCAGACACACAAGCTGGTCAATGTGCAAGCCCTCATCCCCGTGAGCCTTGAGGATGCGGACAACAAGGCAATTTAGAAGGTTCCTTCTCTTCTCCAAGTTCCGGCCCTCTTCATCCTCCGCGTTCAGGTACCTCTGAGGTGGGATGAGCCACACATTGCCCCTCCTTGGCCTGGGTTCCTCACTGTCATCTCGAATCTTGAGCACTCCTGAGATAAACATTGGTCACTTGGTTGGAGAGGGCCCTGAGAAGCCCGTCCCTGGCTCAGAGCGGTCCTCGTTGACCCTGAGTGCATACCTCCTGGTTTATCTCTCTGCTCCTGAAGGTCCAAGGGGCCTCTCGATGAGGTGAGAGGCCCGATCGCATGATGGAGCACATCCGGGGGGAGCTCTGAGAGTGCGAGCAGGCTCTCGACAGACACTACCTGGGAAGAGTATGTATGAAGCATTCAGGTCCTCCCCAGGGGAGGCAAGAGAATGGAAGAAGGGGACAAAGGGAATAAGAAGGGACAGGCCACCTTTAGGTCGTTGAAATACAGCAGCAGCCACATTTGCACTGTGGACACATGCAGGAGTTGGTCCCCAAACTGCAGCTCAGCTCGGCCCTGCCAGGTCCACTGCAGTCGCCGATGTGAGCCCTCCTCTACCGCATGGCTCTGACCTGGAGAAGTGCCGGGGAGGCGGAGGGGGACAGGGAAGGGAGAGGAATGCACCAGCAGTCAAGCTCTGCTTCGCCGCTCTGCAGCGTGCAACCCCAGGCAGGACTTGGAATGGTGGCTCCTGATCGCAGCTTGCCTAAAAAGCCCTGGGTATCAAGGAGCCGGTCTGTGCCAGTCTGTGCCAAGCCGGTTGCAGCCATGCCCTTTGAGTTGTGTTCAGTTGTTTTAGAGACAAAAATCCCTGAGTTAGGGAGGCTTGTCCTCCTGCCTGTCTGGGCCTCCTGAGGGGGCGCTGCTGTGGTTGCCCAGTCTGGAGTCTCTGTCTCAGCGACCACTCTGAGACTGTCTGACTGTGAGGGAAGAGCACACACCCACTCTTTGGTTCTGTTTTTGTCTCTCTGTGTAGCTCTGGCTGGCTACAGCTCACTATGCAGACTGCCTTCCATGCCAGTCAAGTGCTAGCCTCAAATTCTTAGAGATCCATTTGATTCTGCTTCCAGAGCTCTGGGATTAAGGTGCACCCCGCCATGCCTGGCCACACACCCACTCATAAAGCCCTTTCTTATGGCCTGTCTTAGAAGACATACCTCTATCTCCCCCTATTCCCAGAGAGATTCCTGGGGTCTGGATTCCAATAGCAACCCCATTTCCAGGTAAAACTTGAACCTCCATCTTCCCTCAGATCTATCCTGTCCCCCTAAGGAAGTCTTACCTCATGAATCCTATACCCCCTGCATAAGAGCATGCTGGGATGCTATGGTTATAGCCATGCAGGCTTCTAATTTCAGCACCTACTCCAACTCTAGGTCCCTTTCCCAGTAGCCTACCCTTGTCCCCAAAGCCCATGCCTTTCCCCAGGGGCTTACTCTTGCTGTAGAAGTTGGAGTAGTGGTTTAAAGTCCCCTTCAGGTACGAGGGCAGGCATGCTGTAGGATTGAGCATGTGGCAGACAGATTTGACAGGCCAGTAGCGTGGAGACAGGACAAGCACACACACTTCAGGCATTGTCCCTTCATAGTACAGCTCCTCCTCCCCGTCCTCCTCCTCCCCGTCCTCCTCCGCCGTTGTCACAGCTGCTGTCTCTCTGGCAGCCTCTTCCTTCTTGCTCTTGTGTTCCTTGCCGCTGTCCCCATGGGCCACCTGAAAGTTGACAAACGCTGATGACCTCCTCCCGCCCCTCCCCTGCCCGCCCCTTCCCCGCCCGCCCCACCCCGGGAACCCACCTGCATCTTCTTTTTTGTGTCTTCCAGCTTCAGGAGCTCCTGGTCGAGCTGCTGGAGCTGGTACACGTGGAACTGTCGCTGCAGCTCCTCGGAGGTGTGCAGGCTCTGCAGCATCTGCTGGGGGAGACGGTTGGGGAAGCAGAGGCCAATCTGCTCCATCACAGCCCCCTCCAGCCAGCTCGAGCCCACGCTCAGGAGACGGTCAGCCATGTAATGCCTGCAGCGCACACAGTTTGGCCAGATCTCAGCGTGGGTGTCAGTTTGCCAGGTTCTCACTCTGTCCGACCTGTGTCTCAGACTCAGACCCTGCGAGCTGGCCCTGCCCCACAACTGAGAGCCTGCCTTCCCCACACCCCACTCAACAGATCTGAACTCACTGGTAGTAATGCTCAAAGGTGGTGGCTATCTCCAGCCGAGAGAAAATCAGGACAGACTCCAGGCATCGCTGCAACTGTGCCAGCATCTCCATTCCCCGGGCCCCACCCATCCGACTGCCTTGGATCCGCTGGTCGATATGCCGAGCGAACTGCTCCGTCACCTGAGTGGAGAGTATAAGAAAGCCATGAGGGCTAAGAGAGCAGGTATGGACGACCGCCACTTGCATCCATTGCTCAGCCTCCACGCCCCCTTTGGGGATGGAGTCAGGACGAATGGCCACACACAGTACTGCAGAGACACATCCCTGACCTGGCTGGTGTGCAAATGAGCAACACTAACAACTCTGAAGTCAAGTTCCCCCACGCTGTGTCTAAAAATCCAATCATTTAAAAACGCAGAAACTGCTAAGCGTGATGGCACACACATCTGTCAGCGCTGGAGAGGTGGAGGCAGATGGATGAGGAACTAAGGAGGGGCAGGGAGTGTGGCTCTCAATCAGTACAGCACTTGCCTAGCAAGCTCGAGCCCTGGGTTCAACCCCCAGCACCACACATGATGGTACAAGCCTGAAATCCCAGCATTCAGGACACAGAGGCAGAAGGATCAGAAGTTCCAAGTCGTTCTTGGACTACACAGTGAGTTTAAGGCAAGCCTGGGATATATGAACCTTTGAAAAATTTGGGTGTAGTAGTTCACACCTTTAATCCCAGCACTCGGAATGCACAGGGAGGCCTGAGTTCAAGGCTGGGATGACAAGTTGAGACTCTCTCCCTTCTTTCTTCCCTCCTTCCTTCCTTCCTTCCTTCTTTCCTTCCTTCCTTCCTTCCATCTATCTGTCTATCTAGCTTAACATGGAATATGTAATGAATTTTTCCTAGTTTCCCATGTGTGGTCACATATAACTGCCGCTCATCACAGAATCGAGACTGAGGTGCTCCACTCTGGGGAGGCAGGAGGGAGTTTATAGGGAGAGGATCAGGTGCAGTATGGGAAGGAGCTTACATGGGTAGCTCTGAGGAAGGGGAGCCTCAGCAAGGCGTCGGCACAGCCGTTCTGCATTGCTAGCAAGAAGGCAGCTCGTGGCCCAAACAGCTCAGAGCTCGACTTCTGCAGCTTATAGAAGAGCTCACAATAACGCGGCACGAAGTCATCCTCTCTCCAGGATGAGGTCAGAAACTTGTTCACCTGAAAGGAAGGGGCAGGGACATGAAGCAGCACCGACACGGTGCAGTGCCCCACCCTCGACTCCAGGCCCTTGCTGCCACCTGCTCCTCTACCACAGCCCGCCAGCAACGGGTCAGGTTTCGCATGATGCTGCTTGGAAGGCCCCGGGTGGCCAAGGAACTCCAGTCATGGCTTCTATTTCTGCCCTCTGTGGAGACAGAGAAGTACCAAGTCAAGACCGACAGACCCTAAGGACAAGCCCTGAAGGCCTTTCCCAACAGGATGCCCTGAAGAGTGATGTTCCCGATGGGGTGGCCAACAGAGAACGGACAGACTGCGTATGGAGGCGTGAAGGGAGGTGATTTCAGAGCCCATAAATTGTGGAGCTCCCGCAGGAATCTGAAGTACTCACTGGGTTGGGGGATGGCCACCACTGGAGGCGCTGCCTCACAGGGCTCCACATGGACCAGCAGGTGGGTGAGGCGGCGAACCCGTGAGGAGAAGGCTGCTGCGCGGCTCTGGGGGTTGTGGGCAGCGTCCCTGCACTCTAGGTACTGATCCAGCAGCCACCCCAGAGAGCTGCTGCTGTCTTCGTCTGGAGGTTAAGAAAACAAACCAAAGACGTCTTGTCTCTGGGAAGTGCGGGTGTTGAGGTGAACAAGGGACAGAGAAAGCGCAGCCAGACAGAATGGCGTGGGGGAGAGGAGCAGTCCTGGCTGGAAAGACAGGGACAAAGGTGACAAACACAAGGACCAAAGGGCAAAGGACAACCCAGGTGTTTCTAGGGCAAGGGAGAGCTGCTGAGCAGGCTCTGCTGTGGGGTGGTTACCGTGGTTACCGGGAGAGGTGATGTTCTGCACCAGGGGGCTGACCAGCGCCTCCCAGCAGGTCTTGCCCAGTGCTTGGGCGGCCTCGTCATCAGGGAGGAAGCGATCAGCAAAATTCTGCTCCTGGCGCAGAGCCCCATTTAGTCTGGGGAGAAGTAGGAGGTTAAGGCCTTCTGGTTTACACTACTCAGTGTGCACTCGGCAACCAGCCCAACTCCCAGCCCAACACCGCAGAAGAGCCTGCACTACCCCGATTCTCCACTCCAGCACTCAGAGAAACCCTTTTCTTCCCATCAGCCCCGCACCTCAGGATGCACTGACCATCCCCAAGCCCTATCTAAACTAGACTTATCTCATGGCGTCCCAAGGACCTTCCCACAATTCATCTACTGCGCGTGACCTCCCACTCAGACGCACGCACGCACAAGCTCTCACGTACCTAGAACTCAGGTGCAGGAGGCTTCGGCGGTCCTCTGTTATGTCCTGGCTCCACGCTTGTGCTCGAACCATGTAGAAGAGGCGTGTGTGCCGGCACAGCTGCTCTCGGAACACTGGCCAGAAGGCGAGCTTGGGGCCCTGGACCTCCAGTCCCCGGATGCGTGTGTCAATGCCGCCCTGTTACACACAAGACCTCCTTAAGATGGGCTGCGGTGGGTTACACTTCAAGCTTCGCCCTTGAACTACCCCAGACCCAGGATACACAGGGGTGTCAGGGCTGGTGTGGGGCAGTCTGGTGATACACACCTGGGCTTTATCCTCGTGTGCTGGGGCTCAGCGACCTGTACCCAGGAGCCCCTCCCCACACCCCAGTCCCACCTGCTGGTAGCTGTGGGATAGCCCCACCCACTAAGGAGACCCAGGGCTTCCTGGTCCCACCTGCTGGCAGCTGCGGGATAGCCCCACCCACTAAGGAGACCCAGGGCTTCCTCCGGGTCCCACCTGCTGGCAGCTGCGGGATAGCCCCACCCACTAAGGAGACCCAGGGCTTCCTCCGGGTCCCACCTGCTGGCAGCTGCGGGATAACCCCACCCACTAAGGAGACCCAGGGCTTCCTCCGGGCCCCACCTGCTGGCAGCGCTTTATGCGGATCTGGATGATGGGCCAGAAGCGGCTCAGGTTCTCCAGGAGGACGACCCGGCTGGCGGAGGGCATCACGTTCACCTTGCGAGTGGCGGAGGGGGCTGTCACCTCCACGTGTGCTGGTGGAATTGCTAGGAACAACCCTACCAGCTCCAGCCCTCTTGCAGATCCCTCTCTCCCCCACCCCAGGAACATGGGGCACCTGACAAAGGGGCTTAGTGCCACTCCCATTGCTCCATGCCTAAGGCCATCACACAGGCACAGGGACACTAGACTCTGGCTTGTACAGGACTCACGGCGGGTGGGAGTTTAAAGTTGGGCGGGCTGATGGCGTAGGGATCCCTACCGCATTGAGCTCTGTGTTAACAGAGCTGATGCTGTCACCCCCGCACACCACCACAAAGGCCGGCATGTAGCTTGAGTCCTCGCCAGCCACCAGCAGAGTCAGCTTCCTGGGAGTGGGGAAGAAGAACCAATGGGAACTGAGAGCTGTCGTGTCCACACTCGAGCCCAGGGGACGAGCGGGGCCCTGCACGTGGGAGCTCACTACCTGATGAGGACACCTTTGCGCATGTGCAAGGTGATGGAGTGGGAGCCGGCGGTGCCGCTGGACTCCCAGTAGGTCTTGGGGTTGCGGTCCGTCAGCTTGCCGATCCGGTGCGGGTTGGAGGACACCTCCACTTTCTCCCAGTACCTGTCTTTCTTCATGTCCTCACTGGAGCCTGGGGGAGTGGGGAGAAGTGACGGTCACTGCCAGGTAGGTCTAGAGGGGGAATGGGTGATGTTCAACAATTCAAGGACAGACACTAACCCTGGCACAGATATCTGAGGACCACGTCAAAGAAAGGGATGTTGATGGGCCGGTGGGTTCGCCTGTGCTCTTCAATCTGGCCCAGCACCATCTGGAGCCGGAACATCAGAGAAAAGTGGGTGCGAGGGTCACCAGACTCGTGCAAACACAGACGGAGGAAAGACGAAACAGTAAGGGAGCAGACATGCGCAGGCTCACTCAGGCCGTTTTGCTATTCCAGGTTTCCGGTATGCACCGCGCCCCCGCCCCCCATCATCGCTCAGGATCCACATTCCTGTGCAGATCAGACCCCGACTTCACTCTGGCCTTCCTCCTGACCTGGATGCAGCCGCCCAGGATGTTGGTGGTGAGTTTCCGGTAGAGGTGAGCGTGCTTCTCACACTTGAACACCGCATCCCGCAGCTCCTGACCCAGCTCCAATTTCCCCCGGTGCTTTTCCAGGGCCTTGGAGATGGCCTCGCGGGCTCCCAGCTGGTTCAGTATCACTGCGTAGTCCCGGCTCGTGGAGGTCAGACGGTGTAGGAAGAAGATTAGTTCCTGGAGTACCTGGGAGGGGATGTCAGGGAGGCTGTGACTAAGGGGGCCAGCAAGGACCAAAGGGATAGAGGTGGTGACACATGCCCACTCTGTGCAGGAAGCTGTGACAGGAGAGACACGAACGCCAACGCCAGGTGGAGTTAGGGAATTAAGTTACAAACCGGTGGGAAGAGCCTCTCCCACCCCCAGTCAGGACTTCTTGCCCACTAAGTATGAGTGCAACATGTACAGAGAATCCTGGGTTTTCTGATTCAGGTGTGGTTCCCAAGAACCAGTGACAGGATTGGATTTGAGATGTCTAGGCCCCCAGCCCAGCCACTTAAGAGGGCTGGAGGGAATGGAGAAGGCTTGAATTCGTTGTGGACCCTCAGTGATTCTAGCTTGGAAATTGAAGGCAGTGACTTGGGACACTCACTAACACCATGACCTTTGACCGTTCTTAAGCCTTCTGTACCCAGAACCTCCTGTAGGAAGTTCTGCCTCCCTCATTCCCCTTCCTCTCTCTAAAGTTTGTTTATTATATATATGTGTTTGCCTGAATGTGTGTATTACACTGTGTGTGTGTGGTACCTATGGAGACCAGAAGAGGGCATCTGATCCCATGGAATTAGAGTTACAGATGAGTGGGAAATGCCCTGTGGGTGCTGGGAACTGAACCTGGGTCCTCTGCAAGAGCAACAAGTGCTCTTAATCTCAGAGTCATGTCTCCAAGTCCCTCCCCTTCCTCTAAAAGGCCTGGCTAAAACCTCACAGAGATCCACCTGCCTCTGCCTCCTGAGTGCTGGGATTAAAGGCATGCCCCAGACATATAAATTAATATAAATTAATATGGGTGGGTTACCACTAAGGAGTGTGGTTGGGACACTGAGGAAACAGAAATTAGGTAGGAGCCAGAATTCTCAACAAATACCTTGCGTCACTGTGAGCTTTGTGAATGTATTATCTATTTAGAAAGATAAAATTTCATTCTAGCCGGGCATTGGTGGCGCACGCCTTTAATCCCAGCACTCGGGAGGCAGAGGCAGGCGGATCTCTGTGAGTTCGAGGCCAGCCTGGTCTACAAAGTGAGTTCCAGGACAGCCTCCAAAGCCACAGAGAAACCCTGTCTCGAAAAACAAAAAAAAAAATTTCATTCTAAAAGCAACTTAGCCCAAGAGCACAGAGGTTCTGCTGTCCCCAGGCCTTGCCCAGGCACTCCGCCTCGCCGCTGTCATCCCCCTCCCAGCATCTCCCGGAGTGGGACAGGGTTACCTCTCGGTCAGTATTGGGAGACCGAAGGCAGGCCATGCAGGCGTCCATGGCCTCATGCCAGGGGAGCAGCAGTGCCTCAGGGAAGTTCACCAGTTGTGACAGGATTCTATGCAGAGAGACAGGAAAGGGAAGACAGAGAGAGATACAGACTTGGCCTGAGAGTCTTCTGTGCACAACCTGCCCCTCACAACTCCCTCACCTCAGCACAGTCAGGTGCAGGGCCTTGTTGGTGGCTGGAGTGTCCAGGCTCTGCATCAGCGTGAGGAAGGGCTGGGGCTGCCGCCGGAGCTGCAGCAGGCATGGTTTGACCTCACTTTCCTGGGGAACCTCGGAGCTGAGGGCTCGCTCTAGATCCACAAGGAGCTTCCCAGATGGGCCCAAGCCCTCCACCAGGCGCTGCAGGGCAGGGCTGGCACTCTGAAGTGGGGGCTCTTTGGCTACAAGAACAGGGGTGTGGTAAGAATTGGCCGGTTCCCAGTACCTGTGGCAGGCAGCTCATGACCTCCTGGGACTCCAGCTCATGACCTCCTGGGACTCCAGTTCCAAGTACCCCACTCCCTCATTGGCTTTTCTAGGTTGCCTGCACTCACACATACAACCCCATATATACGTATTTTTTAAAGGAAAACCTTATAGAGACAAAAACTGGACACGGCAGCTCATGCTTGTGACCCCAGGACTGAATAGGTGGAGATGGGTGGACCCTTAGGGTTTGCTGGCCAGCTAGCCTATTTGGTAAGAACCAGAGCAGCAAGAGAAGTATGAGGCGGCGGTGGTGCTGGAAATGAGCCAATGGTTAAGAGCACTGGTGCTCTTCCAGAGGATCCAGGTTCCCAGCACCCACATGGCAGCTCCCAACCATCTGTTGAACTTCAACCCCAGGGGATCCAATGTTGTCTTCTGGCCACTGTGGTACGCACTGTGTGTATATAGTACACATCAGGCAAAACACCCATATGCTTATTACAAAAGTTTTTTGTTTTGTTTTTCGCTTGGTATTTTTTGAGACAGGGTTTCTGTGTAGCCCTGGCTGCCCTGTAGCTCACTCTGTAGACCAGGCTGACCTCAAACTCAGAGATCTTCTTGCCTCTGTCTCCTGAGTGCTGGGATTAAAGGCATGGGCCACCACCCCCTGGTTAAAATAAAGTTAATTTAAGTAAATAAAAGGATAAACGGTAGCTGAGGAATGACATCTGTAGCGCGTGCGTACACACACACACACACATACACACACACACACACGGTACTCTGGGTAGGATGTGTCTTTCAGACAAGATGGCACAACGGTTGGCAGAGACACCCTGTGAGGACACCTTCTCAAAGGCAGGTCTCTCAGCGGCTATCCGCAGGGCACCCACCTTCTGCACTCGCCACACCTTCTGATTCCTGAGGCCGGGCCTCAGCTTTGAGCACGAATGCAGCTTGCTGAGCATCTAGCGGATAGGGGTAGCCTAGCTGCCCTGCTAGGGCTTCAGACCCATACTTCCTGTAGACATAGCAGTTGAACAGGTCCCTTAGAGCACTGTCATCAAGTTGCTGAGGCAGAGAGAGCAGCAGGTCCTGGGCCAACTCAATGGGTACGGTCAGCTCAGGAAGGATCTCATTGTCCAGAACATGCTATGGGGAGAAAGTCACCTGCAGGCAGCTGAATGAGCATCCCCGATAGGCCCTTCGTAGGGAGGGGATCTCCACACACATCTGCCACTCTGAACCTCTTAGAACTGGCCGCCCACCCACTTGCATCTCTGAGACTCCAGACTCCTCCCCTGTGGGCCCCTGGTGCTGTCTGACCTCCCCATTCCCTCCCCAAGCCTTCCAAGTGTTGTGGTTGAGCCCTGCGGGCCACGCCTACCTCCCCGTCCAGGTTGTCCTGAAGGAGCTGCACAACTTGCTGCTGCTCTGCGGCACTTAGCTTCTTGATGAAAAACAGGAGCTCCCACCATTCAGCCTGGGTCAGGTGCTCACTCTCTTCTGCGTCTCCCTCCTCAGGCACCACATAAGGCACAGCAAAGAGCTCAGTTATGGGCTTCCAGCGCCTGGAGGGTGGGGCTGTGAAGACGGGGCGTGGCCGTGTCACTGCCCACCCAGGTAAACCACTGCTTCCCTGCTCAGAGGTGGCCCGCCCCCGAGCTCACCTACGCCCAGTGCTCCGCTGACCACTGGTTCCTGGTACTCAACCACATTCTCAATGTCTTCCTCAAAGCCCAGGATCTCCAGCATGTGCCAGTGTACCCAATAGGTGCGGCCTGTTGACTCCCACAACACCTGGAGATTTGGGGGGAGCTGCTGACGGGCTACAGCCCCACAAAGAGGGCTCACTGTCCACGTCAGTACCTCCAAACAGCCAACACTGGTATATGAACACAGACAGCCTCAGCTTCCTCTTCTGCAACAGACTACCTTTGTTCTCCATCTATTCTGACTTTATTTCAGACAGTGTCTCCATGTAGCTCAGACTGGCCTCAACATTGCTAAGTAGCCAAGACTGGCCTTGAACTCCTGATCCTCCTGTCCTACTTCCCCAGTACTGGGTTTACAAGCAGGTACTTCCCCTGCCTGATCCTTTCTGTCTTTCATACCACACGACTTCCCTCTGCCCCCAAACATCTTCTTGATTCTGACCACTGTTTGGGGTCTCCTATGCCTGCATATTCCGAGCTCTCGAAATAGCCCTCCTTTCAAATGCTGACCCCTTTGCCTTTTCTTTTTTTTTTTTTTTTTTTTCGAGACAGGGTTTCTCTGTGGCTTTGGAGGCTGTCCTGGAACTCGCTCGGTAGACCAGGCTGGTGTCGAACTCACAGTGATCCGCCTGCCTCTGCCTCCAGAGTGCTGGGATTAAAGGCGTGTGCCACCACCGCCCGGCTTTGCCTTTTCTTTTATCTTAACTGAACTGGCTTATAAGAGCCCCTGTACAGAAGTTACGCCCTGCATTGAATAAATCTTTCAGTGTCACACCACTGTACAACCCTCACCTGTGCAGGGGGCACACCATCGTTGCTCTGTCGGAACCGGCCCTCGTCCCCAGCAGTGATCTCCTCGTAATTATCCAGCATCCGTACCCACATCCCAGGCCGCAGCATGTCCCGCACATACAAGGCATAGGAATTGCCACTTGCAAACTCAGTGCGGGATCGAAACCGCCTTGACCTCCTGATGAGCTGGGCGTGGGGGCGGGGGAACGCCAAGCCGGCATCTGCTGGCTGAGGCTGGAAAATGGAAGAGGAGGCCCGTGCCCGCCTCCCTGGTCTGCTCGAGGCCCAGTCCCAGCGCATGGCCTGCACCAGTTCGGAGATCAGAGCGCCCATGGCCATGCTGAATTCCAGTTCCAGCCGGTCCCTCCCTACGTTCAACTCCTCAGGAACAAAGCTGCTCTGGGGTCCCTGCTCCCCTGCACTGCCACTCATCTGGTCCAGGAGGAAGGTGACATGCAGGTACCGTTTCACCAGGGAGAAGAGCAGCCGTCCTGGGACCTGCGGGACACACCCTTGAGTCTCACCATCGGGTCCTCACCCCTTTCCGCCTCCTCCGTGACAGGTTCGCAGCTCCCCCCACCCCATGCCCTCACAAGATACCTGCGGCAGCTGAACGCCCTCAAAAGACATGGGGTGTTCGGCGAGAGTGGCCTGAGCAAAGAGTGCCAGCAACGCACAGCGGCTGTCAAAATCCAGGTGTTTCTCGATGGCCTCTTGCTGGCTCAGTGACAGAAGAATCTGGGTCCGGGTGCCTGGAATCCACACCTCCAATCAGAAACATCCCCCTAAGCTCGCCGTTTCCTACTTAATAGCAATCCTTTGCCAGCACAGATTGGGAATGACACATTTTGTCGATTTGCTTTTAGAGCCAAAGTTTTCTCTCTCTCTCTCTCTCTCTCTCTCTCTCTCTCTCTTAGAGCCAAAGTTTTCTCTCTCTCTCTCTCTCTCTCTCTCTCTCTCTCTCTCTCTCTCTCTCTCTCTCTCACACACACACAACACACACTGCAACAGTCTAAGCTCTTCTTTTGTATAAAAGCTAATGAATTAATAAGCTCTTGCTTATTCAGTCTCTTCCCCCCCACAAACATCGCCCAGTCCCTCCCCCCACTTTTTTCTTCCAACTTAAAGTGAGTGACAACAGAGCCATTAGGTACTGATGACGTCAGAAGCCCCCCATCACCGTGTCCTGTGAATCCCCGAGCCGACCCAGCCCCTCCCCACACCGGCCCTCACCAGCATCATGGGAGGACAGAGCTTGTATCATCCGGCCTGCACTCCATCGGATCTGATAGTCAGGGCTACTCAGCATGTGCATGAGCAAGTCCAGGACTCTGGGGTCTTTGAAGACTCCGGTGAGGGGTTCGATGCTGGCGTAGGCACTGAGTACGTGGGCAGTGTGAAGGAGAGGGGCGGGGGGAGCGGTGCCCACACACTCCTGCAGCTGACGAAGGGCCCTCTGAATCAAGGATTTGACGTCTGTTTCCATCTCCCCCAGCACGGATTTGTCGAGGGCCCCGGCCTCTGCAGGCTCCTGGGAAGGTCCGATGACTTGGCCGTCCTCGCCCAGCATCTTGTGGCAGTTAGCATAGATCTCATCGTCAGACATCCATAGGAGGATATGCTCGGCCTTGCAGTCCACTGGGGCAGAGTCCCCTTCCCCATCATCTCCACGCCTGAGGATGAGCCAGCGGATCTGATACTCGGGGTGCCCGTCGGGGCCTACTCGCTGTCGGATCAGTTCGTCGGGATACGCATGCAAGCCAGGCCCCAGGGGCACCCTGAACTCCCTGTAGCGGAGTTCCCCCACCATGCTGGCACCTGAGACACACAAGGAAGAGAGAAAAGGCAGGCTAGAGAGAGGGGGGAGGTCAGAAAATCAAGGGCATCCAGGAGTTGGAGGAGCAAATGCAGCAACAGCTGTCGGCCTGGGTGGGGTAAAGCTGGGCCTGCTTCGGGCTGGGTGAGGCCGGGACTGGGCAGAACGCAGAGGAGATTGTTCTTCAAGCACAAGCCTCGGAGCTAAAAGGTCTCCAAAGCATGCAGCCCTGAGTGGGACCACCGGAGGGGCAGCGGTATAGGGCAGTTTGGGATTTACAAATGAAGCCCAAGACCCTGGGGCAGATAAAGGTGCCCCAGGGAAAGGGGTGTGTGAAGGCACAGGATTGTGTCAGAGAGGCATGAAATCTCTAAATTGAAGCACTGTGTTTTAAGTCCCAAAGGCAAGAGCGCTGACGGCGAAATGGCCATCAGCAAAGCATGATGAACTGGGAGAAGGGGTACGAGAGGAGACATCCACGGCCACAGCAGCTGCAGAACAGGGGCTGGGGAAAGGCGCGAGGCCCGGGGAAAGCTGCACCAGGGGTCCGATGGGTAAGGGGCGCGAGGCTTGGTGGACGGGACCTAAGACCTGATAAGGTCAGGAGCGGTCGCGGCAGGATAGGATTGGGGGAGGGGGTAGGCCCAATGAAGGAGAGTCCTAAAGCGTGGTGGGGAAAGGGACGCGAGGCTCCGCGGGCGATCGGAAGCCAGAATAGGGACAGGGGCCGCGGTGGGGCTCTGGCCACCTCAGAAGTCCGCCGGGATCCTGGCCGAGGCCTGTCCTTTGCAGAGCTAGGGACGCGAGGCACACGATGGCGGCGGCTGCGGCGCTGGCGAATGTTTGGGCCCCGCCTGGGCCCCCCGAAGGGGTCGAGGTGCAGAGGAGGGGGCGTGCCTCTGCAGGAGACAGAGGGCGGGGCCTGCGGGGACTTGGCCTTGGCGCCGGCGCTCTGCTCGCCGGCTGCTGCAGGGCGGAGCTTGGTCCCAGCTGGGGCGCTCGGAGTTTCGCTGCCTGAACCTCGCCACCGCTCGTTTCCGCCAGACTCGGAGGAAAGCCGGGGGCCAGGGGCTTGCGGCGGGCGGAGCCGCGGATGCCACCTCGACGACGCGGCCCTCCAGCCCCGGACCGCCCTTTCCTCTTCCTTTTAGTCCTCCTTCCTGCTGCCGGAAGTGCCTTCCCGTTTCCCAAAGCCAGAACGGGAAAAGACCTTGGAGGTCATGTCCACCCCCTCCCCATCCTGTCTTTTCCTTCTCTTCCCTCTATCCTTGTTTACTCCTCGTCCAGTCTGTACCCCGCCCTTCAAAGGAGAACAGGTAGTAACAGATAAAAACGGGTCTGTTTATTAGAGACAGGGGTATCAGCTTTGGGCAGCAACAGAGGGCAGCTTCACGTAACTCTTCATGGGGGGCAGTGGCCTGATCTTTCGGCCAGCCCAGCCTCCCTTGCGCTGCCACAGCCCACTGTTAGGCCTCTTGCCCAGCCAGCGGTTCCGTCCCGCCTTGCCGATGACTCGCTGGTTATGATCAACGTTGGAAACTCGGCCTACAGTTGCAATGCACGTTTCCAGCACCTGACAGGAGAAGCAGAGAGCGCACCGTGGGGACAAGGGGCAGCATGGCAGTGCTGCGGAGGGCACTGTGTCTCGTGTGGCCTCTTAAACTCAGTGAGGGAAGGGAGAGAGAGAACACAAAATAGTAGACAGGATGAACTGAATACATAAAGAAAAGAGCACCCTTCTTTGTTTCTGTGGCTTTTATGGAGTCCGGCTGTTCTGGCACTTGCTATGTAGACCAGGCTGACCTGGAACTCAACAAAAACTCTTTGCCTCTTGAGGGATGAGATTATAAGCCAGTTCCAACCTGACTGTCCAACCCACACCTGTCTTCTCCTTGATCCCGGAAAAGGGTCTCGTGTAGCCCAGATGGCTTCGTTTTTTGCGAAGTCTGGAATGCTGGGATTACAGGCATGTACCACCATGCCCAGCTGAGAAGGCATTTGACTTATTCCATTAAGGTGCCAACGTGACAAGGCATGCTTAGTCAGGTGGCAGAGAGAGGAACAGATAAGCTGTAGGCAGTCCCTGGCATCATAAACACTTGGGAGCTGGCCAGGTACATTCCAAAAATTCCTTCTTTGCTGACCCCTCCCACTTGTGCCCACATATACCTGCATTTGCCTCTTAGAGGGCAGCTGGATAATGGCTGTTCCATTCACCTTCCGAAGCAGCACGCCACATGTCCCTAGGGAACGAGAAGCAGCGTTGCCACCCTCCACAAATGAGAGGGAGGTTTCCATGGGGATCGAGGTCGTATGCTACCCTTAGCCCTTCAGGGGCACACGAAACATAGAAGACTACACACTATGACTTAGGTTAAAAACATATTCATCCTCTCGTTCCTTGTTTTTTCCTGTCTGTGGAACAGGTGTGGTCCTAAGGGTTCGGAGGACAGTGATATCAGGTAGCCTTGGGTGGTTGTGGGGTGCGGGTGGATCCTTTTCCCATACCTGCAGCTCGGATGTACTGGGCTCCTCGGCCAGGCTCACTTTCCACATTGTTGATGAGGGTCCCCACAGGCAGTGCCCCAAGAGGGTGTGCATTCCCTTCATGAGCAGCCACTACAAGACAGGACGCCATCAGCACCAGACCCTTCGCGACCTCCATCCCTCATATAGCAGCCGTCTCTCACCTGCCATTCTGCCTATATGGTTAGAGTTCAGGATTGTGTCTCCCGCCTTCATGTTCTCTGTGGCAATGATCCAGCGTTTCCGGCTGCCCCCGGCAACCAGAGCTATGTCTGCAGACCTGCTCAGGACGATGGGCCATCAGGAAGACCCACGCTTTCTGAGAAGCTACACAGTGACAATTCAGGCCACACCATCACCCCCTCACATCCCAAACTTGCCTGCATGGGTCATAGCGGACTACGACAACCTTCTCCTCAAAGGGTTCTGGCTTGGTTTCCTCCTCTGGCCGGAACCGTAGAAAGTCAATCATTCTATACTTTTGCTTGTGGCCCCCACCAATACCATGTACTCGGATACGGCCTAGGGTCAAACACAGTTCAGGGATACAATTCAGGTTAGAATAGCTTTCAGCATCAACAGGCCCTGCCTAGACTAGACAGTAGTGTTCCTCACTATTATGCTACAAGCAGAAAAATGACAAAGGGCTGGGGTGTAGCTCAGTGGGAGAGTTTGCCTTGTAAGCACTGAGGCCCCAGGTGTGGGCATACACGGGCCATGACATCCTTGGCGAAAGGGATGGGGTAACACGTGACTCAATAAAATATAATTACTAAAACTGTATGAAACAGGTAAAGTCTTTTCAAATTACTGAATTCAGTAAGTTTACTGAGAGGGATGTAAATTGGAGTCAATTTCAATGGTTACAAATTTTGGGAAGGTTAAAAACACCATGGCACTTGCTGTGTTGAGAGCCGGGTAACTGTTTCTGTGTGCTCTATTCTTCAGTTTCAACAGTTGACCACTCACTAAGAAGCACCTCAGAGAGTACTTTGTAAGTGTACATCTGACATCTTACAAGATACAGGGCACTACCACAGACATCTAGGACCCTAATGCACGTTCCTCTTGATGCCTCAGATCCTTTCTCCCACCTGTGTGGTCTCGACCCCCAGACTTCCTCATCTTCAGTGGTTTAACTGTGTACTTGGTATGACTCTTCCAGGACACAAACTTGGCATTAAGGTCCACGGACATATGCACTGGGCGGTGAGAAGGCATCGCCATGGCAGAGGGCTGTTGAAGCACATTGCTCAGTACCTAGGGATAAGACACATTCTCTTCAGACAATCAAGGGAGGGAATGCATAGACCAACTTTAGCATGTAGGGCACTTCCTTGCAGAAGCATCTCAGACCACTGCCCCCAAACCTCCAACCGACTTTCACAAACACCAGTGCAATGTGTTTATCCAGGTGTATGTGTGGTAATCGTTTGGCCCTCTTGCGTCTGAAAAATTACTTCCTTTCATCATCTTCCAATTTGTTTCAAGCTCTTGTCAGGAAAGCTTATCTCCCCACAGAGTTCCCTTCTCCAGAGCTGGTAAATCCCACAGACACACACACCACTCTCAGGACCAATGCCTTCTGCCCTCTGCATGCTTCCCGGAATTTCCACATACGAATGGAAATGACTGCTTTTCCACCTGCGGTAGTCCCGGGTCTTCAGAGTAGTTTGGAATATCAAATATGCATCTGCTAGATTCTGCTGTACTCAGCCTGAGAACTTCTGAGAAGCAAGACTGGCAATTTCTCTTTTCTGTGATTCACCATTGCTCACTGCTATTCCAAATTCTGCATTCTCTAATCTCAGCCACAAGCCATCCTTACATTAAAATGGTTAGGAGCACTGGCTTTGGGGCGGAGAGTGTAGTTTAGGAGTGCGTAGCATGAGCAAGGACCTAGGTTTAATTCCCAGCACCATAACAAAAACAAAAGCAAGCTCTGAACCCAGTCTAGCCCCCAAAAGTGTATGACCTTAGACTTCTGACCAGCTTTCTCATCTGCAAAATGTGCGTAATAATTTGGTTGACAGGAGTTTCTTCGTTGCAGCAGGCACATAGTGTGACTACTGTGACCTGTTCAGCAGAGATCTGCAAAAGCACTGACAGGCCAGTAAGTCCTCTGACGAATCCGGCCCTCTGAGAGAGAGCAACATTTATAAAGAGCAGAGGGTGAAGGCTGGGTTTACCCAGGTCACGTGATCGTGGCTAGCCTCGCCGGATCACTGACAGCCCAGGCAGAAACAGTCAAGCTCCCAGGTAAGTGGATTACCTGGGCAGCAGGGAGCAGAGTCGGAACCCGGGCGGTAATGGTCGGGGGTGCCAGGCTCAGAGAGCGCAGCGCACTAGCGAGTGCGTACATCTCGGGACTCTGCACGCCTTCTCCTTTTTCAGAGCTTGGTGCTCTAGGATGACGTTTCACTCCCGGCCCTGTCGCTCGCAGATGACGTAGGAGGCGGGCCCCTCACCGGGGCTCTACGGGAGGCACGCTTCCTCTCCTCCCTTGGAAAACGAGCTCTCAGCCAATTACCGGCGGCCGCTGAGGTCTCGTGACTGGAGACAGGCCCCGCCCCTCAGAGCCGTCAAAACAATTGCCTTGAGCGGCAGCCATGATGAATTTAAAGGGGCAGTACCCGCGAAGGCGGCAGCCGGACCAGCTGAGTGCAGGTGAGTCTTTGGGTGTGACCCTGGGGCTGAGGGTTAAGGTTGCACCAACTCCTACACCCACACTCCGGGACAAATGAATAGACCTCTTCCGACCGACCTCACAAAACTCCAGACTGACTACAAAACTCCGCCCCCCGCGATGCTTCCCCGCCCCTCGGCGCCCAGACAGACAGTAGGACGGCTGCCCCGCCCCCTGCGGGATCGCCTGACTCCTGTGACCTCGAGCTCGTCCTGATCGGCGACTCTGCCCTCACTCGCACCTTCCTCCCCTCAGTCCCTGCCTGCGTCACTCTGTCCTCCCCCGCGCGAGTTAGCCGCCGTAGACACCCGTGAATTGCAGCCCAGGCCAGAGTAGCCAGCGCCCAGCGCCCTTCCCTGTGACCCCCACAGTGCTTTCAGACCTGCTATGCTTGCCTGAACCTTCAGGCACTTGAGAGGCACCCTAAGGTACCGGTTAGGTGATCACGACAGACAAAGCCATGAAAGAGGCAATTGCGGTAATCAGGTGGGAATCCTCACCGGGCCTCCCTGCTCAGCTTGTCACAGGCACACCCCTGGCCGCAGGTCTCAGATTAAATCAGTCTTTCGTTCCCTTATTGGGAGAAAGTAACTCCTCAGACCTGGAATGAGGAGACGGAGTTACTGAAGAAAGGACATCGGGACTACTCTCTGAAGAGCCTGTGG